AACCTTCCCGTTTTCCTCCCTTGCAGCATCCACAGCCCACCATGGATAATTTTCCATTTTTCCTCACCCCACCCCTGGGGTTATCCCGGGATTTTGTTTCCTGGCGCTGCCGGGCTGGATGTGAGTGGCTCAAAAAAATCCTTGGGAAAAATTCCCACCTGGCTGGCTGGGAATGTGGGAAGAGCAGAGCGGGATTGGGGATCCCAGTCTTTCCATTGGATTGGTGATCCCAACCTTTCCATGGGACATGGTTGTCCCAGTTTTTCTATCGGACTGGTGATCCCCTTTCCATGGGATTGGTGATCCCAAACTTTCCATGGGATTAGTGATCCCAGTCTTTCCATGGGACATGGTGATCCCAATCTTTCCATAGGATGTTGTGTTCCCAATCTTTCCCCTGGATCATGGTGATCCCAGTCTTTCCATAGGACATGGTGATCCCAATCTTTCCATGGAATTGGTGATCCCAATCTTTCCATAGGATGTTGTGTTCCCAATCTTTCCCCTGGATTGCTGGTCCCAGCCTTTCATGGAGCTCCGTTATCCCCACAATCCCGACCCCCCCCAGGGACAGCTGGGACAATTCCAGCTTTTCCAGCTCTTCCTCAGCGCCACCATTCCCCCTGAAATGAAGGATGGATGATCCTCCTTGGCAAAACCTGATCCTCAGGGAAAAGCCCCCAGAGCCGCTGCCGCCGTGGCCCTTCCAGGGATTCCAGCTCCGGGACATTCCGGAGCCGCGTGGCCGAATCCCGGCACGTCCCTGGCTCTGCCCACAATTACAGAGGAACGGGAAAACCATGGATACAGCACCCGGAGAGTCCTGGAATATCCGCAGCCGCCAATTATCCGGAGGCTGATGTTTGGATTCCAGAGTGGATAATTTATGGAGAGGTCCAGGCCCGGGCGCTCGTCCCATTGGATGGAAGTTCCTCTGGAATAACAATACCTGGCGCTGGGAGCGCACGGATAACCCAAATCCCGGGATCTGAAAGGGAGATGATTCCATTTGTTCTGCCGGGAGCGGGAACAAACAGCTCCGTCTGCTCTGCCGCCGGCAGCTGGTTCCCATTATCCCTGGAAAAGATCCCGACTTTTCACTGGGAGGGGAATTCGGAGCCGCCTTGGCTCGTTCCAAGTATGAAGTGAATGTGGAGCACAAATGGAAATTCCAAGGGGTGAAGGGATCGGAGGCGAGGCAGCTCCTCCCAGTGGGAGCTGAAATTCCCAGTTCCAAGTGGTGCCCTCAGATTCCAGTCCCCTGGAGACCACCAGGATTGGGAATTCCTGGGAAGTGTGGGTTTGGGGAAGAAGCTCTTCCCAATGGAAAATCGCTTCCAAAGGAACAGGAGAGGGGAGTGGGAGATGAAATTCCCAAATCCAAGTGGTGCCCTCAGCTTCCAATCCTCTGGAGACCACCAGGACTGGGAATTCCTGGGGATGGCGTGTGGATTCCATAGGATGGGAAAAGCTTGGGAGAGGATGATGGAAGGGGAGCAAGGCAAGAGACCCAGGGAAGAGATTTTGGAGGAAAAGAGAGGAATTTGGGGAATTTGAGTGTCCAAGAACAGGTTGGATAAGGCTTGGAGCCAGCTGGGATAGTGGGAATTGTCCTTCCCATGGAATGGGATGGGTTTGAGGTTCATTCCCACCAAAACCATTCCAGGATTCCATAATTTTTGTGTACCTATATTTAGTGTCTATCCCAGCTTCCTTATTTTCCACCCGTCCGGATTTATTTGGAAGTGGAAAAAGCAGCGGGATGCAGGAAGAGGAAGCTGTGGGATCCCAGGAAACCCCGGCAGGAGAGGATTGAACAAGGGATTAATGGGAAAATCCAAGGAGGTTACAAAAATTCCATGGAATCCTGGACTGAGGTGGGAATCTCCCTGTGTGGGTGGTCCCCGTTCCTAAATCCAACATTTTCCCAACATCTGTCACAGACTGAGAATTGTGGTGACCCCTGGAATTACCTGGCAAAATTCCTCTCTTTTTCCATTGCCAATGGATAAAGCTCAAGGAATCAGAGGGGGAAAAGTGGGAAAAAATTTTGGGATAAATCCTGCACCAACATTCAGGTTTGTGTGGGATATTCCCAATCCAACAGCGTTTGGATCCCGTGGACTCCCTGAGCTGTGGCAGCTTCCAGGAAATTCCCAGAGTTTTCATATCCAGTCCACTGGAATAGGAATGAGGGCAGCACGGAGCCTCCCAGTAGGAATCCGACCTGAACCTCTGGAATTCCACTGGGGGCTCCTTTCCCACCCCTCCTCATCCTGGGGCTTCCCAGGCTCCTGCATGGATGCGGAATTCCATGAAAAGGGAATTTACGGCTGCCCCGTTCCCGTCTGCCGGGGAAAAGCTGGATTTGGAGACTGTGGGATCTGGTGGCAGCTCGGAAAAGAGCCGGAGGGGAGCATGGAAAAGGCTCCTGGCAGGAATCCTGTTGGCAGGCAGCCCGGGGAACTGAAGGAGCGTTTTCCATGCCTGGATCCGATGTCTGATGGATGAGTTCGGCACTTGGCTCCACCGGGAATTTTAAAGGCAAACCCGACACCTTTGGCTCGGCTCCTGGTTTTCCCCTCGCTCCAGGAGCATTCCCAAATTTCCTTGGGATGACAGGGAGGGGACCAGGGCCCCCCAGTGCCTCCCACTGAGCCAAGGATTCCCACAGTTCCCAGGAATGGGAGCAGGGCCTGGAAAGGGCCATGATGGGAGCTCCTCGTTCCCACCAGAATTCCCAAGATTTCCACCCCCCACCTGCCAGTCCTGCCCCATTTTCCGGGAGCCATCCCGGAATTCTGGGGGCTGATCCCAGAGATCACCACAGCATTTGGGGGCAAATCCCAGGATCCATCCCAGAATTTTGGGGACACTGAATCCAGGATCCACCCCACAATTTTTGGGAGGTTGATCCCAGGATCCATCCCAGAATTTGGGAGGCTGATCCCTGGATTCACCCCAGGATTCTGGGGGGGAAATCCCAGGATTCATCCCAATATTTTAGGGGAGCTACATCCAGAATCCTTCCCAGAACTTTGGGAGCAGATCCAAGGACCCTTCTCAGAATTTTGGGAGGATAATCCTAGGATCCATCCCAGTATTTGATGGGGGTGATCTCTGTTTTCCTGTGTGGAAGAGGCTGGAATTCTGCTTCCCTGTTTTCCTGGCTCTGGGAAGAGCTGATGCTGTGGGAGAGGCTGGAATTCTGCTTCCAACTTTTTTTTTGGAGCAGTTCTCCGGAGCTCTGAGCTCAGCAGAGCTGCTGGATCGGGAATGAGGGATCCACGTGCTCCGGCTTGGAGCTGCTCCCGGGTATCCAGAGGGACAAATCCCAATCCCAAATCCAGCTCTGCAGTGGGGTTTGCTGTTCCCGAGCATCCATCTTTCCCGAGGAAGTGGGAAAAGCCTCTGGAGTGGGATAAAATCCCTGCACGCCCCCCCTCCCCAGCTCCTCCTGCGCTGAAATCTGGGAATCTGGGGATTTGGGAATTTGTTGTCATTCCTGGCCTGTGTTTACATTCCTGGTTTCCAGCCTGGCTCTTCCCAAACTCCCGAGGCAGCCGCATCCAAGGCCGGACGCCTCCCACAGGTCGGGAACAGCTGGAGCCTGGAAAAATCCAGAAACCTGCTGGGATGATCCCAAAAAACAGGGAAGGGAGGTCGGGAGCGCGGTGAGATGGAAGCACAAAATCCCGTGGGATTTGGAGGAGCTGGGATTTGGATCCAGGGATTTGTGGGTGCCATTCCCACCCATGGAGAGGGGTTGGAATGGGATGAGCTCCCCATTCCATGACTCCATGAGGAATTCCTGCTGTCCAGAGGTTTTTCCAAACAAACAAAAGCTTTTCCTGGATCCGGGGGTCAGCTGGGAGCACACGGGCGGAGCAGCCTCCTCCTCCTCCAGGGTTTTTGAGGAGTCATCCAAGGATTTTAATCTGGGAAAAACACGGGATCTTCCCTTTGGGAATGGCTGATGTCATTCCTAGATCTGCATCCAGCTGAACTCGCTCCCTGGGATGAAACATTCCCTGTTTTCTCCTCCCCTCTCCCAGTTTTTCCCCTTTATTTCCCCCCAGTTTTCCCCCCTCTCTCCCTGGTTTTCCATCCCTTTCTTCTCAGTTTTTCCCTTATTTTCTCCCCAGCTTCCCCTCACTTTTCTTCCCAGGTTTTTATCCCCCTTTTTCCCAGCCTTCCCCCTTTTCGCCCAATTTTTCCCTCTCCTCTCTCTCCCAGTTTTCCCTGTTTTCCCGGAGGAGGTGACACCTGGACACGGGTGTCCCCTTGGAACCCTTCCCGTCCCTGTGGGATCCCACCAGGAGAGGCCCGGGATTCCAGGTGGGAATTCCCGGCTGGCACAGCCGATTCCAGGCTGGAATCCCCAGCTAGCACAGCTGATTCCAGGCTGGCATTCCAGGCTGGCACAGACCTGATTCCAGGTTGCAATTCCCGGCTGGCACAGCTGATTCCAGGCTGGAATTCCCACTTGGATCAGCCGATTACAGATGGGAATTCCCGGCTGGAATCCACTCCCTAAAGGGTGGCACGGCCTGGAGGCGTCTGTCCCCATTCCCATCCTTTCCTGCTGCACCTCATCCCAGGGTTCCAGGTGGGCATTCCCGGCTGGCACGGCTGATTCCACGCTGGAATTCCCGGCTGGCACGGCTGATTCCAGGCTGGAATTCCCGACTGGCACGGCTGATTCCAGGTGGTCATTCCCTACTGGCACAGCTGGTTCCAGGCTGGAATTCCCGGCTGGCACAGCCAGTTCCAGGTGGGCATTCCCGACTGGCACAGCTGATTCCAGGCTGGCATTCCCAGCTGGCACAGCCGATTCCAGGTGGGCATTCCCTACTGGCACAGCCGATTCCAGGTGGGTATTCCCGGCTGGCACAGCTGATTCCGGGCTGGAATTCCCACCTGGAATCCGCTCCCTAAAGGGTGTCCCGGCTGGAAAGGGCCGTCCCCATTCCCATCCTTTCCCTCCTCCCCGCTCCCTGGTCCCTCCCACTCCCTCCCAGCGCTCTCCCGCTGTCAGGGAGCCGGGAAAAGTTTGGGATAAGGGACGGGATCTGGGATCGGAGCTCCCAGTCCCGCCGATGCTCGGGAGCGGGGGTTGGGGCAGCCGGCGATTCCATGGATATTCCCAGCGGGATTCTCCTGGCCTGCTCCCTCTGCCTCCTGCCCGGTGAGTGCCCATCCCAATCCCCCCAAAAAACCGGGAATGGCTTGGAAAAAACGCTGGAGAAACCTTCACGCGGCTCTTGGAAAAGCTTTGCCGGGAGCTGGAGGCTGCTGGAAAGGGATGGAGATCCTGGAATTCCCGGGAAGCTCCGGTCCCTCCTCGGCCTTGGAGCGGGATTAGTCGGGATAATCCCAAAGGATCGGATACTGGGGGGGAAGGAACGCTCCCTTTTCCCGAAATCCAGCTTTTCTGAGGTTTGCCCCGTTGGAAAACCGGGAATGCTCGGGGTTAAATTTAGGAGAGGCTTTAGGCGGAGTTTAATTCCAGGAGCTGATCCTGCGGCTTCTCCCGTTCTGCTCCGGGGGGCTGGCAGGGATTTTTCTGCTTTTCCCCCCGGTTTTTCCTTGGGAAAAGCGGCTCCCCATTCCTGCTTTAATCCCATCTGGAATCCACCCGCTCCGGGAGCCGCCAAAGTGAGAGGGAAAATGGGGGGAAAAACGGGAAAAAATCGGGAAAAAAGCGCTTTTCCCCACTGCCAGGAGCTCGGCCACCGGCTCGCGCCTCCTCCAGCTGCAAACATTCCCAAACTTCCTGCTGGAAAACGCGCCAGGCTGCTCGGGGTTTTTATGGCATTGGCGCTTTTTTGGGATTTTTTTTTCCCTTTCTGCCGGGGGATCCTTTCAAGGGAGCCGCGGCCGAGCTGCTTTTCCTGGAATAATTGGATCCATGTGTGGACGGAGGGATGGATGTGGCTCTGGAATGGGATGTTGGAAAAATCCTGGGAGCTGCCCGATTCCCGGGAAATTCCCCCATGGACACAGTGCTGGTCATTAAAGGGGGGATCATGGAAAGGGGATTTGGGAATTCTGCCTTGGGATGTGTGGGAAATGATCCCTGAATTTGCTCCTTGGGATGAAACATTCCCTGCTTTTCCCTCCTCTCTCCCAGATTTTTTTTCTCTATCCATGAATTTTTCTGGCCATGAATTTTCCCACAGGGATTTCCATCCTGGGGAGTTCCTGTCCCTGGATGTTTCTGGATCCAGGGATTTTGTGGGAATTCTGCAAACACAAGGTCCTGCTGGAGCAAAGCCCCTCCGGAGCTTTGGGAAGCAATTTTGGGAGAGCAGGAATGGTTTTTTGGGAAACAATTTTGTGGGAAGGCAGGAATGTTCCAGGATGACTGAGCTTCTGTTCATCCCCAGCATTCCCGGCCCTCCCATCCAAATCCCGGGATTTTCCCTAAAGCCAATGACAAACTCTGGGAGCTGGCAGCATTCCCTTGGATTCCCAGGAATTCGAGCCCACCCTGCTGCTTCCCAGAGTTCTTTCCCAAAATTTCTTTATCCTTTAGAAAGTTTTCCTTGTTCAGCCCAATATTCTCTCTCTTCAGGAATTCCACCCTGAGCTCCGGCAGTGCTGGAAGCCAGGGAAAAAAAAGCTGGATTTTCCTGGCAGTCCAAGAAAAACCGGGATATTCTTCCGGAGAATCAGAAAACTCTGGGGCAAAGGCAGCAAAATCCAGCCCCAAATTTTCATGGAAGCAGAACCAGGGTTGGGAATCATGGGAAAGCTTCCAGGCACTTCCCAGAGTTCCTTTTCCAGCTGGGAATCCCAAGGGATTCAGGGCAATTTTCCCCTTTTCTCCCCAATTTTTCCAAATTTTCTCCCCAGTTTTTCCAGTTCCCCCTTCCCCTCTCCCCACCTTTCCCCCCTCTTTATTCCCATCGTTTCCCCCAGTTTTTCCAAATTTTTCCTCAGTTTTCCCCCATCTCCCCCCCCCATTTTCCCCCCTTTCCCCTCCCTTCTCTCTCCCATCTTTCCCCCATTCTCCTGGTGCCGGTGCCTTTGGAATCATCCCCATCCCAGAAATTTCCCTTCCAGGACTTCTTTCTATCCTGATTTTTACCCTGGAGGAAAGGTGGATTTTATTCCCATCCTTCTTTCCCAGATTTTCTCATTTCCCAATATTTTTCCTGACAAGAATCAAATGCAAAATCCAGGAAAATTAAGAGGAAAATCCATCCCATCCTGTCCGATCCTTCCTCTGCATCCAAGACTCTTCTGGACGTTGGAATTTCTTGCTGGGAATCCGAAGTTCCCAAAATTCCCTCTGATTCCAGGGTGCTCTGATGCCCTTCCCCCTTTCCCATCATTCCATGGCCAATCCCAGCTTCCCTCTCTCCCGAGGTTTTCATTTCTTTGGGATGTGAAATGAGGTCAACGCTCCACAAAATATCTTGGCTCTCATCCCTGTCTCCCGGGTTTTTTTATCCCAGGTTTTTTTATCCTGACTTTCTAGAATTTCTTTCTGGATCATTTGGAAGTTCTTTTCCTTGGAATCCATGGTCAGATTTCTCTATTCCCCGTTTCAGGAGCGGATTCGTTCCTAGGATTCCAAACATTCCCTTTTTCTCCGACATTCCTGCCTATCCAAACATTCCCATCCTGGATTTTTCCGCCTGGGAAGGAGCAGTGCCAAATTTTCCTGCCAACAGCTCCTTTACATCCCAAGAAATTCCAAAGTGAGCATCCCGTTCTTGTCCTGGAGGAGGATTCCAAGGTTTTACCTGGAATTCAGCGAATCCAGTCTGGGGTATCCAGGTTATCCGTGTCCATCCTGCTGCTCTATCCCAGGATTTGCTGTGTCCCTGTGTGCTTCCCATGGATAGCATCTCCAGCATTCCCAAAACTCCCACTCCTGGAGGAATTCCTGATTTCCCAATTTCCCACCTGGATCTGGCTCCAGGCACAGGGAGGAGCTGCCAGAGAATTCCCAAATTTTGCTCAAGGGAATTTCTCTGGAATTTGTCCCCTGTGAGCCCCGGAATCCCGGGATTGGGATGCCATGGATGCTGCTCCCGCTGTTCCATGGGAAGCAGCATTTTCCAGAGGGAAGGGACCAATCCCAAAAATCACCCTGTCCCAGCTGGAATTCCATCCTTAGGGATATCCCCCTCTGGAGCTGCCTCTCCTCACTCCTGCTCCCACAGGGAATGGGGATCCAGCTTTGGATCCTTGGGAAAACCCTTGGGAGTGGCTGGGATCCCTTTTCCATGGATCCCATCCTGTGATCCCCATGGAAGTGGCTGAATCCATGGATTCCAGAGGGAGGAGTTCCTTTCTCCTTCCCCTTCCCATCCTGGCTCCAGGGAATTCCCAGGATGAGGTGTTGAGGGCTGGGAATGGGCTGAATTCCAGGAATTCTGAATCCTAAATGAGCTCTGAGCTCCATCTCCAGGGCTGGATGTTCCCGGGACCTCCAGGATGGAGAGCGGAATTTTGGGAAGCTGCAGATGGGGTGGGGCTGGAATGCTTTGGAATTCCCATCCTGGCTGGGAAGGGAATGGATCAACCCATCCCTGTTCCTGCAGCATCTTCAAAAATTCAGGAGCAGCTTTCCTGGGATGGGCGAGGTTGGAAGCGCCTCTGGAATCATCAAATCCAGCCCCAAATGGAAGCACCCGGAGCGGGGCTGGGGTTGGAATAATCCCATGGCTGGATTCCGAGATTTTGGAATTCCACATTCATCCATGTGGAATTGGTGTTTTCCAGCTTTTTGGCTGACGGATCCTTCCCTTTTTCCCCCCAGGATTTGGGAATTCCTTCAACATCGACACCAAGAGGCCCCAGATCATCGCGGGATCCAGGGAAGCTTTTTTTGGATACACGGTGCAGCAGCACGACATCGGCGGGAAGAAATGGTGAGTGGGCTCCAGGAAACCGGCAATTCCAGAGGGAATTTCGGTGGGAATTACACCAAATCACCCCAAATCTCCTCCAGAATTCCCAGGATGTGGTTGCTCCTGGAGGTGCTGAATGAAGGAAAGGTTTTCCTTAAGAAAAGAGGAATTTTCGGTGGGATAAGGGAATATTGGGAATTTGGGAAGGGTGGGTGTGGAGGAGTGTCCTGGCTGGATCACGATTCCTTGGAGCTCCCCAGGGCTGGAATCCTGCCTGGAATTTGGGTCCAGGCCATCCTGGTTTTTGCAATTTGCATGGAGGAGTCAGGGCCTGGAGAATCGATCCGTCGGGAATGTGGGATGAGCCTGGGATTGGCTCGGGTTTGGGATTTGGGGTGGGTTTGGCTCATCCCAGGGATGAATCCAGGGCCAATCCCAGGGGATCCCACCCAGATGTTGGCAGAGACCTCTGGTGCATTCCAGGGGCGTATCCGGATGCTCCAAACCCCATGGAATTCCCTGGAATTCAGGATCTGCCCCCCAGGTGGATGAATCCAAGCTTAATCCCATAATCAATGCAACGGATACTCCTGGAATTCTGGAATCCAACCCTTGCCACCTTTGGAGAACCCTCCAGTACCCTGAACCTGAGATTCCCATTCCATGGAATTTGGGAAGTTGGGGTCTCTCTTTCCGTGGCTCCCAGCCCTGTTTTCCACCAGGACTGGGAGTTTTTCCCATTGGAATTGTTCACCCGATGGAAGGGCTGATGCCTTGGGATGAAAGTTGGGAATTCAGTGTTTCCCGGGATTCTGAGGGAAATTGCTGGAAAATCCCAATTTTGGGAATATTCTCATCCCAGCTGTATCCATAGGAGCTGTTTTAGCTCCATCCCAGCTGAGGGGCTGCAATTTCTGGGATATTTGGGATCTCTTATCCCATTTTTCCATGCTACCACCACTGATGGGGTGGCCAAGGGCTGAATTCCCTGGAAACCAGGAAGTTTTTCCTGCTTTTCCAAGCAGGACCAAAGACCATCCCTGGCTTCTTTTCCCAACTTTTCCTGCCAACATCCGCAGCATCCACCTCTAGTTTTTCCTCCTCTTGGTTCCTCTGCTTGGAAAAATGGAATTTTTTCCAGCGGGATCCTCTGGATGGACACGGACATAAAAACTCAGGACAGCGCTGCTGGAATCTGCAATTGAGTGGGAAAAAATTCCAAGGAAAAAAGTGGATGCAGCTGAAGAATGGAGAAATCTGGGAGCAACCAGAAAAACCTCTGGAATAAAAACCATGGATGTGCAGAGGGAGCTGGATAACAATTCCAGGAGCTGGACAATTCCAGGTGCAGGATAATTCCAGGAGCTGGCAGGACACGGAAGGAAAGGGAATGTCCTGAAACCCCAATTCCCACTGAGCACCTTCCAATCCCGTCCCAAAGAATTCCACAAAATCCACTGGAATACAGCAGATCCTCCGTGGTTCTCCCAGAATCCCGGCCATGGATGTGCCGGGGCCCAGCTGCCAAATTCCAAGCGCGGAATCCGAGGATTTTGGCACCTCTCCTTCAGTCTGAGCCTTTTAATGCTGCTTTTGGCTGCCGGGAATTGTTTGGGAACGGATTCCAAGAATTTTGTGTTTATGTTTTTTTTCTCCATATATTTCTAAAGGAATATTGGAGTGGCTCCAAGCAGATTGGATTTTCCAGGTATTTTTGGAAGTTGGGAATTTTCCCCTTTTCCAGACTTTTCAAGGAACCACCCAGACTCATGGAAGTGCATCCCAGAGAGCGGAAAATCCATGAGGAAAATCTGTGAGGAAAAAATTCGGGTTATTAAACTCTGGGGGGAAAAAATTCCACTTGGATATTTAAGGCTGGCAAAGCTCATCCGTGTGGGATTTGATTTTGCTCTGGCGTTTTCCAGAGCAGTGAGGGGTTTCCAGACCTCCTTTTCCACACTTTTTCCATCTTTTCCGTGGAGCTGGAGGTGCCTTCTCCGAGTGGGGATGGAAAAGATGACAACAGGTTCCTGGCATTCATCCCAAAAACCACTGGAGCTCCATGGAATGGCAGCTTCCCGCTCCTGGAGCGGGCAGGGAAAGGGGGAGCTGGAATTATGGGATCAGAGCATTCCCAGCGTCCAAACTGGGGATTTTTGGGAAAACTGGGAAAAATAGGAACTCCCTGTGCTGCTGGGACAATTTTGGGATAAGGAGAAGGAATTCCTGGGGGGATGGAGGGGTTTTGGAGGGTTTGAATCCCAAATCCTGGCAGGGTGGACACTGTGGATGGATTTCTTTGGGAATAATGAGCAGAATTCCCACAAACAGGATGTGTATCCCTTAAAACCTGAGAGCTCTCATGGGAATGGGAGTTCCTGGGTGTTTGGGGCAAACACAGCCTGGAATCTGATGGAATTTGGGAAGAATCTTCCTGGAGGTCCCAGAGTGGGGAAAAAAGGGAAAAAAATTCCCATCATCTTTCATCTCCCCCTTCCAAGTGTTTGTCCGGAGTGCTCCCCATCGTTCCAGGAGCTGTGGCTGGGAGCATCCTGGAGTTCCTGTTCCAAGGAGTCCTGGAGAGAGGGACAAGCAGTGGTGACAAATCCGTGTCTGGATCCCAAATCCCAGAAAACAGCGGATAATGGGAGCAAAGGCAGCCCGAGGAACTCTGGAATACCATGGGCAGCAGGAATGCCACATTCCCATTTTTCCTGGAGTTTTTCCCCCCATTTTTTGGGATGTTCAGGAGGTGTTTCCAGGCAAGACCTCTCCATGGTTCTTGGCTCAGCTGGGATTTTCCATGGAGCTGTTCTGGGATCTGTATCCACAGGGTCCTGTGGGATCTCCAGCTTCCCTCTGGAGATTCCCAATAAAAATTGGAATTTCCCAGGTGACTTTTCCCAATCGCCCACACCCACCCCAAACAAACCGTTTTCCTTCAGAACCACTGTTGATTCCCAGATTTTTTTGCCACCCCATCCCTGGAATGTTCAAATCCAGCTCGGAGCAACCTCTGGAAGTGGGGCTGGAATGACACAAACCATTCCAGGATTTTCTTAAAAACGAGGCCAAAAAGAGGGAAAATCCCCCAAAAAACTGGGAATAGGGTGGTTTGCCACAGATCCTGCATCCCAGGGTCGGGGGGAGAGCCAGGAGCAGACATTATGGAATTCTCTGCGCTTCCATCAAAATATTCCAAGCGCTCCGGCGGCAGCCAAGCCACGGGAGAATTCCAGCCAAGAAAACCTCTGGCAGGAGCTGGAAAACAGAAACCCCTGGAAGTGTTTTTCCAGATCAGCACAATTCTGGCTTTGAATCCAGCCAGAGGATTTTTCCCTCTTTTTTCTTTTCCCTCCTCCTTTTCCCTTCGGCCGGGCTCATATTGGGATTGTTCAGGATCAGGGCCTGGAGCTCAGGGGTGGAATGGGATGAGCTTTAAGGTTTTTCCCACCCAAACCATTCCAGAATTCCTGGATTTTGCTGGTTTGGAGCCTTTCCCAACCTGCAGGCGTGGACACATCCCATTCCCAGTCTGGCTGGAAAACTGGGAATCAGGACCCAGCACTGAGCAGTATCCTGGGATATTCCTGCTTTTCCTCTCCTTATGTTTTGGGGATGAAAGTTAAAAATCCATCCTCAGACAGCTCGGAGCAGTCAGAGCTTCTCCCACTTAATCCCTGTTGGGTTTTTTCCCTTTGTTTTCTCCGGGAGCAGGGAACGGAGAGGGAGGCGAGGCAGGAATTGTTTGGTTCTGGTTTTCTTTCAAAGCCTCAGTTTTTGGCCAAGTTGTGATGCAGGAACCACTTCCTTCTTGGGAATCCAGGGAAAAATCGGGAGATTTGGGATGATCCCAGTGTGTGTAGAGAGGGAAAGCTTGGAAAACTACAGGAATGTCTCCCTTCTGTAGTGGAATGCTCCAGTTTTCTTGGGATGAGCTGCTTTATTTGGATATTTTTGGAAATTTGGGATAACCCATCCTGATGTTTTATTTTGCTTTTGGAAGGAAAAATCCAGGATTTCTAGCTCGAGTTTCCAAGTAAAGGAAGAGTGGAGCAGCATCCCTAAAAACACCTTCCAAACAGCTGGAAAAGCCTTTTTCCCGGGCTGCCAAGTTTCCATGAGGATTTGACAGCTCCAGCTGATGAATCATTCCCATTTATCCAAAAAGGGAAAACAATTCCATTGTTTTTTTGGGAGACAAGAATTCCGGCTTCGGGAGCTCCGCAGCCGCTCCTCATTCATGGCAAAAGCTGGGAATGTTTGGGTTTCCTTTGGGTTTGCCTCGTCATCCCAAAGGGATGAGCCAACCCTACTGGTTTTTTGGGAATACTGATTAATGTGTGGTGTAATCATATTAATATGAGAATGTTAATTCATGGAAAAGTCTCCAAGAGGATTCCCTGCAGGATGGGGGGCACATCAAGCTGGAGCTGCTCCCAGAAGTTCATGGAATTCCATGTATCTGAAATTCTTTGGGAATTGGGAATTACACCAGGATATCCTCATTTTCCGAGGAGCCTCCACCTTTATTCCTCCTCATCCTCAAGGTTTTCCCATTCCCCTTCCCAATCTTCCACCTTTTCCCTCCTCTCCACAAACAAATGGATGTGGGAGTGTGGGAGAGCCTCAGGAAAACGAGCCAATTCCTGAAAAATCCCAGATTTTCCTGGATGCCGTTGCGGACAGCTCCAGCTGGAGATGATTTTCCCGTTGTGAATTCCCACATTAAGCCGTAATTCAGGAAGTACTTCCATGAGAATCAGATTCGGGAGCTTTTCCTTGGGTGAGCGATTCCGGTTTGGGATAAAAGAATGGGATGTTTGTCTTTGGAGCAGCAACATTTTTAAGGAATGACAGTTCCTGGTCTAACAGGGAACATCTGTGCCGGTGGCTTTTCCAGCTGCTGGGAAGGGCCCTGTGGAACAAAAGAGCTCCTGTTTATCTGGAGATCCAGACTGGGACGGTTGCATCCATAGGATTTTTGGGAAGCTAAAAAATAAAAATAAAAAAATCCCATTTATTTTGGGAGCGGGAGTTGCCAACAACTCGTGGTGCAGAGGATTTTTGGGATAGCCTGGAATGGAGGGATGGATTCCTTAGGTCCTGAGCTCTTCCTGCTTTTGGGTTGCTGGGTTGGAATGCTGTGGGCAAGAAAAAGTGGGAAAAATGTTTGGATGTCCCAAAAATATCTCAGCTGGAAGTTGGTGTCCTTGCTGGGGAATGGGATTTAGCAGCTCCCTTCTTTTGGAGAGCAGGAAAATTCCTGATGTCCACTGGAGATCCCAATGTTCAGTTCCTGATGTTCAGAATATCGAAGCAAATTCCCTCCTCCAGAGTTTTCCTGGGGAAAATTCCTTCCCTCCACTGGAGATCCCAGTGTTCATCTACCAGTGCTTGTAGCAACCCCACCTTGGAGAAAATTCCTTTTTCCAGGGTTTTCCCTGGGAAAATTCCTTCCCAATTTCCTCACCCACCCCTGGAGATCCCAATGTTCAGCTCAGGGCTGTTCGTAACAACTCCGGGTTGGAGCAAATTCCCTTTTCCAGGATTTTCCGGGGAAAAATTCCTTGTGGATCCCAGTGGGATTTGCTGGAGGCGCTCCACCAGCTCCTTGTTATTCCTTCTGCTTCTGCTGGAATCCTGAATCCGTATCCATGTCCTGGGAATGACGTGGGAGGTGTCTCCATATTCATGTCCTGGAGATGTTCTGGGAATGACGTGGGAGGTGTCCCTGCCCGTGGAGGGGGTTGGGATGAGAAGATCCTGAAGGTCCCTTCCATCCCAAGCCATTCCATGGCCCTACGGAAAGGCTCCTCCATAGGCAGGGGAGAGAAGGGACAATCCATAATGGTTCTGAGGGATTTGGTGCCATCCTGGAGCTGCTTCCTTGTTCCTGCGGGTGCTTCCAGATGGGTTTGGGTTTTTCCTCCCTGCCATGAATCCGTTCCTTGATGCTGACGGGAATGAATTCCACAATTCCAGGTGCCAGAGTCACATTCCCAACTTTTTCCTCTTTCCAGCAGGAAGAGAAGGAGAAGCTTTCCTTCTGCTGAAGTTGGGGCTCTCTGCTGCCACTCCCAAATCTGGGAATTGTGGCTGAGGAATCCTTTTTCCCGGGGGATTCCCGGTGCTGACGGCTCCGTGTTTTCCGCAGGCTGGTGGTGGGAGCTCCGTACGAATCCAACGGGCAGCAGAAGACCGGAGACGTCTACAAGTGTCCAGTGCTGAGTGAGAGCCACGGAAACTGCACCAAGCTCAACCTGGGTACGGCGTTCCAGTCCCACACATCCCAAATTATCCCTGGAAAACGGGATATTGGGAAGGGGTTCCTCCCTGGGAAGGTGGAATTCCCAGAGAAGCCCCTGGATCCCTGGAAGTGTCCAAGGCTGGGTTGGGTAGGGCTTGGAGTGCTCTGGGATGGTGGAAGGTGGCACTGGATGGGCTTTAAATTCCCAAATTATTCCATGATTCCCAGTTTGCTTCCCAAAGGGGGAGCTCTGGCTCATGAGGAGCTGCGTTTTCCAGAGGAACAGTTGGATCAGGATTTGGGACACAGCTCGTGACCAATCCCATTTAGGATTGACAGGGCTGCTCTGGGGCTGTTCCCGATTTCTGAGCTGTGCCATGGAAAGAACAGGGATTCCCTGGGAATCCAGGATGAGGAGCTGAGCCCTCCGAGGGGCTTCCTCCTTTCCAGCTCCCAGTCTCATTCCCAAAAAAAATTTCCTTCCTTGGCTGTTCATGCAGGAAAAACCCAAATTTTCTAAATTTTTTCTCACGTCCCAGAAATCCCCAAACCCTGGAGTTACACCGGCAGAGATTCCTCTCCGGCACACAATTCCCAGTTGCTAAAGAGATTCCCGGGGACATTCCGGATTTCCCGGGCATGTCCCTGATCCCAGCCTCTCTCCCAAGGGCGGGTGATGTTGGGTTTTCCAAGTCTTTTCTCATCTGCCAAAAATCCCCAAAACCCAGAATTAGGCCGGCAGAGATTCCTCTCTGGCACACAATTCCCGGATCCTCCGGAGATTCCAGGGGGCATTTCAGATTTCCCGGGAATGTCCCTGACGCCAGCCTCTCTCCCAAGGGCGGGTGACGCTGTCCAACGTGTCGGAGCGCAAGGACAACATGCGCCTGGGCCTGAGCCTGGCCACCAACCCCAGGGACAGCAGCTTCCTGGTGAGCAGCATTCCTGGGAATGTGGGCTGGGAATTTGGGAATGCGCACCGGGAACGTGGGGCAGGACAGGGAGGTGTTGGGAGGTTCCTCTTGGTGGGTTTTTGTTTATGGAACGTAAGGACATTTATAGGGATTTATTGATAAAATAAAATATAATGTAATAAAATAGAATTAAATTGAATTAAAATAAAATTAAGTGAAATGGGGAAAAAATGGAATTAAAATAAAGCACATTCATGGAAAAGGGATCCTTTCCACCAAATCCTGCTTTTTTACCCCGCCAGGCCTGCAGCCCGCTGTGGTCCCACGAGTGTGGCAGCTCCTACTACACCACGGGAATGTGTTCCCGCGTCAACTCCAACTTCCGCTTCTCCAGAACCGTGGCTCCGGCTCTGCAGAGTGAGGACTGAGATCCCTGCTCCCATCCCTGCTCCCATCCCTGCTCCCATCCCTGCTCCCATCCCTGCTCCCATCCCTGCTCCAACCCCATCTCAAATCCCATTTTGGCTGCACAAAACAAAGCCCTCATTGACCAGGAGTTAAACATGTTGGAATTTGGGAATTTGGAGCCAGCATTTTATTTTGGAGGGTTGAAGTGAAGCTTCCTGCCTTTCCTGGAGCTGGGAGGGATTCCCAGAAGGCTGTCCTGCTCCTGGGAGCTGCTCATCCCATGGGATGTGATTCCCCAGCCCCAGAACCCCTCTGGTGTTGGTTAATTCCCAGGGCAGATGGGCTGGTAAAAATGGGATTTGGGGGGGATCGAGGCAGGAAGCAGAACCCATCACCAAATTCCCAGGGCATAACGAGGGGCTTGGGAAAATGGGATTTTCGGGATCAAGGCAGTAGAGGCATCATCAAATTCCCGCTGTCACTTCCCTTGTTATGTTCCAGCCCTTGCTGCAAAGGATAACTGGGATTTTAGGGAGTTTGAGGAAGTGTTTATTTAATGGGATGCAGGGTCAGCTCCTCTCCCTGATTCCCGGGATGGGATGGAGATGGAGGCACGCAGAGGATCCCAGTGATCCATGAGTGACTCCAATCCATGGATTCTTTCATCCATTAAAACCTGTGTGGTGAAAGAGCAGCCGATAAATCTCTGAAATCCAGGATCATCCAGCACTTTTCCAAGGAATGCTGTAAAACTTCAGCAAGACTGAGATGATCCTGAGCAATTTTCCCCACTGGAAAAAATCCTTAAATCCCTCCTGCTCCGGCTGCAGAGCCGAGCCCTGGGGTCCCCTCCGGGGTTTTTGGCTGCCTCGGAGCTGAGGATTTCATGGGAAGGGAGGAAATGCCCGCCTTGCTTTCCATGGCAGGGCTGGGAATGACTCAGGGATCAGGAACGGCTCTGCGGGAGGAACGGAGCCGGATCCTGCTCCTCTTTGAAGTGTGGAATGATATTAAACGGGATCAAATTCCAAAGCTGAATCCCAAATGATGCCGCTGAGTGTTATTCCTAGGAAGTGATCCCATCTTTGCACAGCAGAGAGGATTCCTGTGGCTTCTCCCCACCTTGCTGGAGCCCAAAGTTCTTTCCCAAATTATTGAAATAAGATTTTTTTCTTTTTCCTCAAGAAATCCTAAGAGGAAGTACCTGGCTGGAAGTGCAGCCATAAATCTGTCCCTTTGCAAGAGCACTTTTAATAAATCCCTGGATTTTCCACAGGATGCCAGACCTACATGGACATCATCATCGTTCTGGATGGATCCAACAGCATTTATCCGTGGGTTGAAGTCCAGCACTTCCTGATAAATATCCTGAAAAAGTTTTACATCGGTCCTGGACAGATCCAGGTGAGGCCCTGAACCGTTTGCGTCATCCCAATGTCCCTTTTCTGCCAAGCTGCTGGAATTTGTCAAAATATTGGGATTTTTTTACTCCTCCCATGGGAAGAAAATGCTCCCATTAATGAACCTAAGTGAGCTGTGGAGGGATCCCCATCCCAATGGGAACAGGGAGGATGAAACCCCATGGAAAGGAGCTCTCCATGCTCTTGCTCCGAGTAATCATGGGTGATTCAGGCTGTTTGTGTCATCCCAGGGCCGTTCCCAATGTCCCTTTTCTGCCAAGCTGCTGGAATTTGTCAAAATATTGGGATTTTTTTACTCCTCCCATGGGAAGAAAATGCTCCCATTAATGAACCTAAGTGAGCTGTGGAGGGATCCCCATCCCAATGGGAACAGGGAGGATGAAACCCCATGGAAAGGAGCTCTCCATGCTCTTGCTCCGAGTAATCATGGGTGATTCAGGCAGGAATTTCAGCGGGAATATCCCAGATTGTCCCAAATAACCCAGTTTGGTCGCACAGCTGGAGATGTTGTGGTTCCAAACTGGCACAAAACCTGGGACCAGAGCAGTAGGGAAAGCCATAAAATTGGGAGTGAATAATGATCCCATGGAGGGAAAACCGGGAACGAGCATAGAGAATTTTACCTGCGGCTGGTGATTCCCGTGGCTGACAGCGCTCGTGGTGGACAGGACCTCATTTTTTGGCCTTTTTGGTGCCATTCCCATCATTCCCAGGTGGGAGTTGTCCAGTACGGAGAGGACGTGGTCCATGAGTTCCACCTGAACGACTACAGGTCCGTGCAGGACGTGGTGGCGGCCGCCAGCCACATCGAGCAGCGCGGGGGCACCGAGACCAGGACCGCCTACGGCATCGAGTTCGCTCGGTAAAACCCCTCCCACTCCCGCTCCTCTCCCCAGGAAAACCTTCAAATCCAAGTTTTGTTCCCTCCTTCCCTCTCCCTTTGTTTTCCTTGCTGCTCAAGAATGGGGAAATCGCCAGGTTTGTAGGAAAATGTGATTTGGGGGAAGCTTTGCAAGTGGCGCTTCCCAGAATTGCTCGTTTGTAGCTGGGGCAGGCCCTGGAATTGTGGCTTCTCCCTGGAAGCCCCCAGGGAGGAGTTCCCAGCCCCCAAATTCAGCCCCAGGACCTGGAGCTCTCCTGCAAATCCCTGGAGAGTCCCCAGGAACTCAGGACAGCTCCACCTCCTCCCTTTCCAGGGACAAATCCTTTCTCCTGCACTTTTTCCTTGCAGTATTCCTGCTGGGAGTCGCAAAATTTTAGGTTGGAAAAGAGGTCAAAGAGCAGGTCCAGCACTGCCAAGGCCACCACTGACCATGTCCCAAGTGCCACATGCATGTGGCTTGGAAATCCCTGCAGGAATGGTGATTCCAGCACTGGCCTGGGCAGCTTGGAAAAGTTTTAGATGGATCCTGGCCAGATCCGAGCAAGGTCCTGAACAATTTGTGTCACACAGAGTCCCCAGCCCTGGTCAGTGTCCCTTTTCCATAAATATGATGGAATTTGGGACCGTGCTTTGTCAAAATTGTGGGATTTTGGCAGGAGTGGATAATGGGATGAAGAAATTTTCCCTCACAGGGAAAGGCCCCAGAGGCCAAGGCCAGAAGTCTGCTGGCCAACTCAAGATCCATTCCTTCATCCAATTTTTCTGAATTATGGCCTCTTTCCTTCAAAAAGTGGGGAAATCCACATCCCAAAGCATTTCCCGAGGGTTCCTGCACCTCCCCAAGGGGCAGCACCCCAGAGACCCCTCGGGGCGGGCTCGGTGGGGCGGCGGAGCCACCACGGAGCTGGCGGGGCTGAGCAGCCCAGGGCATCTCTTCACTTGCAGCTCGGAAGCGTTTCGGAAAGGTGGCCGGAAAGGGGCAAAGAGAGTAATGATTGTCATCACAGATGGAGAGTCCCACGACAGCCCAGACCTGGAGAAGGTGATCGAGGACAGCGAGAGGGACAACGTCACCCGATACGCGGTGGCGGTGAGTGAGGGGCTTTTGGGTTGTGGAAGTCCTGCAGAGCGTGGCGGTGCTCCAGGAATCCCAAAGCAGCAGGACAGCCTATCCCCACTGCTCCTGGAGCATTCCAAGGGGTCCTGTCCATCCTGTCCAGGAGGTCCTATCAATTCTCCATTCTGGAACATTGTTCCAGAATGTTTCTTCTGGAGCATTCCGAGAGCTCCTGTCCATCCCCACTGCTCCTGGAGCTTTCCAAGGGATCCTGTCCATCTCCACTGCACCTGAAACATTCCAAGAGGTCTTCTCCATCCCCACTGCTCCTGGAGCATTCCAAGGGATCCTGTCCATCTCCACTGCACCTGAAACATTCCAAGAGGTCCTGTCCACTCCCACTGCACCTGGAGCATTCCAAGAGGTCCTATCCATCCCCACTGCACCTGGAACATTCCAAGAGCTCCTGTCCACTCCCACTGCTCCTGGAGCATTCCAAGAGGTCCTGTCCATCCTGTCCAAGAGGTCCTATCCTCCATTCTGGAACATTGTTCCAGAATGTTTCTTCTGGAGCATTCCGAGAGCTCCTGTCCACTCCCACTGCTCCTGGAGCATTCCAAGAGCTCCTGTCCATCCCCACTGCTCCTGGAGCATTCCAAGAGGTCCTGTCCATCCCCACTGCACCTGGAATATTCCAAGAAGTCCTGTCCATCTCCACTGCTCCTGGAGAGTGTCCAGGAGGTCCTATCAATTCTCCATTCTGGAACATCGTTCCAGAATGTTTCTTCTGGAGCACTCCGAGAGCTCCTGTCCATCCCCACTGCTCCTGGAGCTTTCCAAGGGATCCTGTCCATCTCCACTGCACCTGAAACATTCCAAGAGGTCTTCTCCATCCCCACTGCTCCTGGAGCATTCCAAGAGGTCCTGTCCACTCCCACTGCACCTGGAATATTCCAAGAAGTCCTGTCCATCTCCACTGCTCCTGGAGCATTCCGAGAGCTCCTTGTGGCTGGTGCTGGAGCTGGGATGCTCAGCTCTGGATTCGGCTGCTGGAGCCGGTTCCAGGACCAGGGACAGGCAGGACCCCAAATTCCATGAGGAATTGCAGCAGTTCCCTTGTTCGTTCCCACAAAGTGGTGTCAGATCCGAGGATGGGGCTTCTCCCACGTGGACACCCCAAAGGTTTTTGGGAAGGTTTGATCCATCCTGGGAAAACGGCCCAGAGGAGTTGTTGATCCCTCATCCCTGGAGGTGTCCAAGGTTGGACAGGGCTTGGAGCAGCCTGGGGTAGAGGAATGTGTCCCTGCCCATGGAATGGGATGAACTTTAAGATCCGTCCCAACCCAAACCACCTGGGAATTCTAATTCCATGAACGTCTCGCATTTTATTCCCAACCAGGTCTTGGGTTATTACAACAGGAGAGGGATCAACCCCGAGGCCTTTCTGAACGAGATCAAGTTCATCGCCAGCGACCCCGATGACAAACACTTCTTCAACGTCACCGACGAGGCGGCGCTCAAGGACATCGTGGATGCTCTGGGAGAAAGGATTTTCAGCCTGGAAGGTGAGGGGTGCTCCTCCCTGGCACGTCCCAGGGCTGGGAATGTGCTGCTCATCCTTTTTTTCCCCGAATTTGGACGTGGCTTCCGCAATATCTGAGCCTAAAATCCTGCTTGGAGTATCTTCAGATTTGAGGAAATGTCTTTATTTGGGGCGGTTGCGTCCCTCGGATATCAGGAGCAGAGATCCCTTTTCCAAAGGACACACCTCGTTCCGGCCAGCGGAATTCTGGTGGCTTTGATTTCTCCTTTTTATAGAAAACCTCGGAGATTTGGTATGGGGGGAATTTGGGCGTCAGTGTCTTCCTCATCCATCAAATTCCAGGGTTGTAAACAGGAAAACCCACACACAGGAGCTTCCTGGGGTGCCAGACATCGGGAGATTATGGGAATAATGTTGGGATTTTGGGTTTATTGGCTGAAACGAAATATCAGGAAATATTTCTGTCTTAAATGTCAGCTCTTGTGACAACTTTGTCGCTCTCCCAAACTAAATTTATCTGAATTTCAGAGGAAAAATGCAGCCTGGAATGAACAATTGGAACAGAAGATGGAGGGCTCACACTGGGAATGAAACATCTTGAATTTGGGGATTTTGGCTCAAACCAGCTCACACACTCCCCACAAGTTTCCCAGTTTTCTCTGCCCAGCCTGGTGCTTCCCTGTGGAAGTTGCCCTGGATGAGGAATTCCCCCTGTTGGAATTACAAAGCAAAAACCTCCAAATCCCGAATTTTGGGTGATCTTGCAGCTCTGCAGGGGAGAAGCTGCGCCCCAGCTGAGCTCCCAGACCTCCTAGCAGCACGAGGTTGTGGAACTGGGGGATTTAGGGAGAAATGGGATCATCAGGAGGATGTGGAGCTGCTGGAGCAATTCCAGAGGAGGCCACGGAGCTGTTCCAGGAAAGCAAAACTCTCCATTAAACTCAAATTCCTTTTTTTTTTTTTAAGGAACCAACAAGAACGAGATCTCCTTTGGACTGGAAATGTCCCAGACTGGATTTTCATCCCACATTGTGGAAGTAAGAGAGGAAATGTGGGAATTTTTTTGCTCCTGCCTTGTCCTGTTTATCACCCCCAGCTCCAGGTGGGAGATTGGGATTTGGGACAAATTATTAATTACGGAGTTAAATAATTAACATGAGGATAAGGAAATGCAGCTGGATTATCCCGTGGGAAAGGGAGGTGTTGGGAGACCCGAGTATCCCTTAGGATCTGCAGCAGATCCTCCCGATGCCACAAACTCTTGGGAAGGACGTGCTGGAACATCCATGGAAAAAAGCTCTTGGGAATTTCCTGGGGAGAAAAAACACACTGGAAAAACAGGAATAGGGTGGAAGTGTCATTCCAGCTGTTTTAAAACCCTCCAGCATTGCAGGTGTTTTTGGAAGAGCGGTCTGTGCGGGATCAGAGGGATGGAATCGCCTCCACTTGGGAAGAAATCCCATAAAATTGTTCCCGTTTTCCCACAGGACGGGATCCTGCTGGGAGCAGTGGGAGCCTACGACTGGAACGGAGCCGTGCTGAAGGAGACCAGCAGCGGGAAGGTCATTCCTCTGCGGGAATCCTACCTGCAGGAATTCCCGGAGGAGCTGAAAAACCACGGAGCCTATTTAGGTGGGAAAGCTGAACGAGGCCGTGCCGCCGCAGGGGGGAATTCGGGATTTTATCCTTAAAAAAGAGGAAGCACGGGGTGTTCCTCGTGGGAGAGCTGTGGGATGCAGCGCAGGAGCATCCTCACCTGGGAAGAGCCCGGCTCCAACCCTGGAGTGGGGCACAAATGGGATTTAAATTCAGGAGCGGCCGAGCCGGCGGGTTATCCGCAGCTTTTCTTGGAGGGGTTTCAAAGCACTGATGGAATTTCATGCCTAGGCAGGAAATACCTGCTGGGTTAATCCATTCCATGTGCAGCCACTGGAGCTCTGGAACAAAAATATCAGCCTGGATGGTGAAATGCAGCCTCTCCTCGGAGATGTGGCTGTCCCATGGTGGGGACAGAGGTGGGATTCTGTGGGATCAGCACCTCCAGGCTCTTCCCTGGGAATGGGGACACGTGGTTCGTCCGTGGGGTGACAGCAAAGTGCCCCCTGAGCTGGGATGGCTTTGGGTGTCCCATGGGAATCCCTGTGGGAGTTCAACTGGGCTCTCTTTTCCACTGCCTGAAGTGAGAAATCTGGGAATATTAAGGAATGCTGGTGTATCCTGCTGAGGAGCAGCCTGGGGAGCTCAGGGCTGATGCTGGATTTAGGAATATCCCTCTAGGAGGGGCATTTTTAGGGTAAGAGGGACCCCAGGTAAGGCTGGTGAGCAGGAAGGGTCCAAAAATCCCTGAAGATACTCAAAATTTAACTGGATGTGATTCCAGGGAATGTAATTCAGTTTCCTGATTGGCCAGACTTTGAGTTCCATAGAATCCCAGAATTATGGAATGATTTGGGTTGGAAAGGAACTTAAAGCTCATCCCATTCTACCTTCCCCTATCCCAGGTTTCCCCATGCCCCATCCAGCCTGGGACTGGAACATTCCAGGGATGGGGCAGCCACAGCTTCTCTGGGCACCCTGTTCCACTTCTAAGGATTTCATTGGAATTTAAACCTGAGCCTGAAGGTTCAGGAACCTGGACTTGGGGTTGAAAACTGGGATTTGGCAGCCCCAGCTTTATATTCCTACAAAATCCCATCTGCAGCCATGGAAGTGCTGCAGCCCAGGGGGTGATCCCAGCAGGAAAAAAGGGATTGCTCAGGGTCACTGGCTTAGGCAGGGTTATTTCCATCAGGAGGAATGGTTTTGATGGATTCATGGCTTTTACTGGACTGGGAATGTTGACATCAAGCACCAGGAAAGCTTTTCCTGCCCAGTGTTCCTGGAGCAGCGGGAGCCGCAACTTCCCAACACTCAGCACCTCACGAGTGTCTGTCCAACTTAATGTGAGCCATGAAATAAAACAGCCAGAAGTCCTGGAATTGCAGGGATTGGATTCACCTTGGATAGAAGAAGGATTTGCACAGGAAGTGGGAGTCAGGCAGTGCCAAAACTCCCGGCACAGCCCCGGCCGCGAGGAATTGCAGGGATTGGATTGATTCACCTTCGATAGAAGAAGGATTTGCACAGGAAGTGGGAGTCAGGCAGTGCCAAAACTCCCGGCACAGCCCCGGCCGCGGCAGCACCGGAGCGGCTCGGAGGCACTGGGGTCCGTCTGGGTGATTTCATCTCTGCAAAAAATCCCAGTTTTTAAGCCTCCCTTTTTGGAAAGTGGCCAGAGCTGTGTCAGCAGCTGGGGGCTAATGGAAAGCAGACCCTGGGAGCAGGCAGGGAGTCCTCACTCCGTGTCCATCCCTCTCCAGGTTACACCGTCTCCTCCGTCGTCTCCACCAGGCACGAGCGGATCTACGTGGCGGGAGCGCCGCGGTTCAACCACACGGGCAAGGTCATCCTGTTCACCATGCACAGCAACAGGAACCTCACCATCCACCAGGCCCTCAAGGGAGAGCAGGTAATTCCAGCCGGGAATGCCGTGATGCTTTTCCCCCGTGGAAAAATCAGCCCTCTCCCTTGATTTTCCCGAGTTGGAATGGCTCAGCAGTGCCGCGCAGCCGTGGATTGGCAGTGTCTTGGTTTGGAAAGACTGGTGTCTACTAAGGAGGGCAGGAGTTTCCCTTGAAATGGAAAATGTAAACCCTCTCCCTCTGAGTTATTGTAACTTTGAAATTAAGGGGCTCTCGGGCAAAGATATGGGAATTGGAATAGCAGTTCTTTACTAGGACAATTAAAAATACAAATGCAGTAGTACAAAAAAGAAAACAAACCACTGCCAGAGTCAGAATACAATCTGACAGCCTGTGTGTCAGGGTGGTGGCACAGCCCCATCCCATGGGGGCTCAGCCCTCCTGCAGTGCCAGCTGTGCCTCTGCTGGAGCAGGGATCCTGCACAAGGGGGGAGTTTTCCTCTGGAGCTCCAGGGGGGCTGGAGATGGGCCTACTCTCCCTCTGGGAATGCAGGGGAGAAGAAAGCTGCTCCTCTGGGAATCCAGTGGGAAAAGGCTCTCTCTGGTGTCCCAAACCTCAGATTGTATCCAGGTAGGAATGCTTGGCTCCTCCCCTGGGTGGAGCATCACCCAATGGGATGATGGAATTTGATCAGCCATGCAGGGACACTCACTGGCCATGAACAGAAGATAATTAATAATTAATGGCCCATGAACAGCAGAGATCTCCTGGAGGGAGGATTGGCTGTGGAAGAGATAAAGAAAAGTGCCCCATGAACAGAGAGAACTGCCCAGCTCTGACAGATGGGGATGGAATCACACCCCCATTTCCAGCCTAAGAGAGCCGGTTGTGGATGCAACCTCAGCGTGGCTGTGGCAGAGATGGGATGTCCCTGTGGATCCCAGGGAATCCAGGGGGTTGGTGGCATCATCCCCACCCCGTCCTGTCTGCCCCAGATCGGCTCCTACTATGGCAGCGAGATCAATTCCCTGGATGTGAACGGCGATGGCGTCACCGACGTGCTGCTGGTGGGCGCGCCCATGTTCTTCAGCGAGGGCAGGGAGAGGGGCAAGGTCTACGTCTACGCCCTGCAGGGGGTGAGTGGCGCTCGGGGACATCGAGGGGACATTTGGGTGCTCCCGTGGCAGCTGTGTCCCGTGGTGGGGTCTCAAGGGAGGGGTGGAATGGGATCTTTGCCACGTGGGAATGTGGATGTCCCTCTGGAGAAACCACCTCCAGCCACGTGGTGTCCTCCAAACCCAGTCCCTGCAGGGAGAGCTCAGAGCCCTCTCCAGAGCCTGTGGAAGTTGCCCTGGATGAGGGATTCCCCCAGTTGGAATTATGAAGAAAAAACCACCAAATCCCCAGTTCTGGATTATCTTGCATGGAATTAATATGGAATGTTTATTATTATTGAGTTTGTCTTTATTATGGAAATCATTATTACTGTAGAATTATTATTATTACCATAGATTTATTATTACTATTATTATTACTATAGAATTATTATTACTATTGAATTATTATTTACGACGTCATCATCATCATCGAATTATTTATGTAGGGTGCAAAGCAGATGTGGGGCTAGCTCGGAGGGACTCAGGGCTCCTCATTCCCCAGGGATGTGCTCCAAAATCCCCAATCCCTGGGAATGCTCCCACCTCCTTCCTTGGAGAATCCCTCCCACATCACACACTGTTCACTTGAGGCTTTCTCCTCTTTCCTGGTGATGCTTTGGGAATTGTCTTCCTTCCTTTTGTTCTTTGGCAGAACCTCTTTGTTCCCAGCGGAGCCCTGGTGGACCTCCAGAGTTACCAGAATTCCCGTTTCGGCTCCTGCATCGCCGCCGTTCCCGACCTCAACCAGGACTCCTACAACGACCTGGTGGTCGGGGCCCCTCTGGAGGACGAGCACCAAGGAGCCATTTACATTTTCCTTGGATTCCAGGAGACCATCCTGAAGAAGTACAAGCAGGTGGGCCTTCCCTGTGCTTGGTTTTCCTCGTCTTCCATGGGATTAAATATAATTTGTCCCTGTTTTAAGGACTGATGGAGCAGGACAAATCCACACCTGGGATTTAATTATTAATTTTTATGGCCAGATATTTCCTCTTTTGAGGCATCCAAGACAAAACGTTGGAATTCAAGCATTGGAACAGCAGTGGTGGAGTCCCCATCCCTGCTGGGATTTAAGAGGTGTGGATGTGGCCCTTGGGGACATTTTGTGGTGGCCTTGGCAGCACTGGGGAATGGTGGACTCCGCAATCTTGGATGGCTTTTCCAACCTGAGTTATTCCATGGAACAGTGGGGGAAAAGGCTTGGAATTAGGGGCAATGTTTAGCATTCATTGCAAGGGATTGCTATAGATTAATTAATTATATGTATAATTTTTTAATTTATTTCTTTTATTTATTTATTTATTACACTTCTGATAAATGTTAAATACGCAGGGTAAATCCAGTAGAAATCTTGGCTGGTGCTTCCAAAGAGAACTTGCTTTCAAAGCAAACACTTTCTCTTTTCCAAAGAGAAATTCCCTGGAAAACCATGTTTAGCAGAACCTCTTGGAACGGGGAATTTTCAGCGGCGAGGCGGAGTCAGCCTGGCAAACCCTTGGCAGGCAGGGATGCTCCTGCTGGAATCCAGCCTGGATTGCTCCCATTCCTTTCCAGCGGATCGCGGCCGCCGACCTCGTTCCGGGCCTGATGTATTTTGGATGCAGCATCCACGGGCAGCTGGATCTGAACGAGGACGGACTCGTGGACTTGGCCGTGGGCTCGCTGGGGAACGCCGTGGTGCTGTGGTGAGCCACAGATCCTTGGTGCTCTCTCCCGCTCTCCTCTGCCCAAATCATGCCAAAAATTTTCCAGGAAAAACCGGTCTCCCAACAATCTGACACATCTTTCCTGAATAACCACCCCCTGTCTAACGGGGCTGTGGGATCTCAATACCCTCGTGCTCTAAAAAGATGCCAGAGTTCATTTTCCATTGTGTTTCACCCATAGTTCTCCAGAAGTTCCAAGTTCATTTGTGGGGATTTGCCCAGGTTCCTTCCGGTCTGGTTTAATTAGAGCAATAGTTTTAAATATTAATTAATGTTGGGAGAGTCCCTTGAAGCTCTTGGGACGGAGGGTGGCTGTGCCCAGCCGAGATGGGTCACCCTGGGCTCTGCTTGGAGACCACCTTTGGTCTTCCCAACCTTCTGCAAAAAGGAGGGAAAAGGAGTGAAAAAGGCAAACCTGGAGCTGTGGGAGACTCCAGGATGTCCCACCCCGAGCCGGAGCCCATGCCATGGCCTCTCCCCACCCCACAGGTCCCGCAGCGTGGTCCAGATCAACGCCAGCCTCCGCTTTGAGCCGCCCAAGATCAACATCTTCACCAAGGACTGCAGGCGCAACGGCAAGGAGGCCACCTGCATGAGGGCCTTCGTCTGCTTCACCGCCCTCTTCCTCTCCGCTCACTTCCAGACTGCCAGTGTGGGTGAGGACAAAATCCCAATTCCTGCCCTGCTCAGGTCTCCAGTTCCAAGGAAAACCCAACTTTTGGGATGGAAACCATCCAGGAGCTTGGAGGAGCTCACGTGTCCATCACGTGCCACTCACGTTTGTCCCTGTCCCGGCCGAGTCTCTGGGTTCTGGTGGTGATTCTGCCAAAGAAACGCCCCCGGGATAAATCCCACCTCATCCCTCACCTGTTCCCTGGGCTGGGCTCTCCTGGGATTTGCCTTTCCATGCTCCGTGTGACAGGAACGTCCCCGCAGCGGGACGGGAGAGGATGTGCCCGGCCCGCGTTCCGCAGGGCTCATCCATCCCTCCCGCCCCTCACAGCAGCAGGACACATCTGCGGGCCAGATGTGCACTTTCCACAACATCGCAGGGAATCTGTGGAGCTGGCCAGCCCTGCTGTTAAACCCTTGGATGGTGCCGTGACCCCGAGTGATCCCTGGCGGATTCCCGGGAGTCAGCGGAGCAGGGAAGCGATAGCGGCTCAGCCCCTGCAAGCCAGCAGCAAACACTGTCCAAGGAAATCAGGATCCAGAGCCAAGGGAAAAACTCCCAGTGCCCAGAGCAAGAGTTTTGTTTTGTGCTGTCAAATCCAGCGTTTTTCTCCCTGCTGCTGTCCCTGTGGGATAAAATCTGAGTGGGATTTCCTTATTTATTTGATTTTACCTTTATTTCCACTGGAAATAAAGAGTCACGCCCTGGATGAGCCCCTTTGCTCTGGAGCCAGGCTGGGAGAGCTGAGGGTGTCCAGCCAGGAAAAGAGAAGAATCCAGAGAAACCTCAGAGCCCCTCCCAGGGCCTAAAGGAGCTCCAGGAGAGCTGGAGAGGGGTTGGGGACAAGGCATGGAGGGACAGGACACAGGGAATGGCTTTAGGCTGAAAGAGGGACAGATGGGATACTGGGAAGGAATTGTTCCCTGGGAGGATGGGCAGGGGCAGGGATGGAATTCCCTGTGGCTGCCCCTGGAAGTGTCCAAGGCTGGGATGGACAGGGCTTGGAGCCCCCTGAGGCAGTGAAAGGTGTCCCTGCCATGGCAGGGGCTGCAGTGAGATGAGATTTTAGGTCTCTTCCCAAACCATTCTGAGGTTCTCTGAAACCCCTGCTTGGTTGGGAATCTCCTGTTGCTTTCCAGCAGCAGTGCAGGAAGCAAAGGATCTCCGTAAATCATCCAGGTGGGGGGTGAGCTCCAATTCCTCCAGACCAGCACGGGAACACTTGAGAGGCAAGCAATTCCACGCCTGCACAGATTTTAGACAAGGCCATGCAGTAATTAATCCCCAAAACTCCTCATTGGGAGAAGGGACGCTTTCCCCAGATCTGCCTGGGATTTCCCTGGATTTCCCTCAGCAGGGAATGGGCATGGGGCCACTCTTTGCCCAGGCTTTGGGGCGCGTGGCCCCACGGCCTGAGCTGGGCCTGTCCCTGCAGGGCTCAGGTACAACACGACCATCGACGAGCGCCGCTACTCGCCCCGGGCGCACCTGGACGACGGCGGGGAGCGGGCGCGGGGGCTGCTGCTGCCCGCCGGGCAGGAGCTCTGCCACACCCTCCCCTTCCACGTCCTGGTGAGTCTGCAGCAGGAGAGGTTCTCTCCGGCATCCCTCGGCGCCTTCCCGGGCTGGGAGCGAGCCTCATCCCGCTGGATCCATCCCGCTGGATTGCTCCGCGCCGGTTTGATGTGGTCAGGGAGGGAGCTGCCAGCACGTGGCAGCTGCTGGGTCCCCAAGCAGTGACATCACTGCAGCTTCCACGTGCTCCGTTCCACCAGCCGTGTCCTCGGGGAGGGTGTGAGCTCCTCATCCCAGGGTCAGGCTGCTCCTCCTGCTCCAAAATCAGGAATGCTCGTTGTTTTTCCATGGGGAGCCGAGCGTCCCCATGCCAGTCCCTGGTGGTGTCCCCCTCTGGCCCAGCAGGTCCCACCCCGGGGTGCAGAGCTGGTGGATCCCTCGTTTGCAGGGAGCAGCTGATGCAAAAACCTGGCCAAACCCAAACATTCCCAGGGAATGAGGAGAATTTCATGGAAGCCAGACAGGCCTGAGCTGCCAGACTGGCCCAGGCCCAAGCCCCGGCTGAACTGCTGTGAACTTTTGGGAAATTTGAGGCTGGAGCTCATGATTTAGCCCAAAAAAACATCTCCCTTCAGAGCACCCCTCTGCACCCGGGGGCAAGGCACGGGAGGAGCTCCTAGGGGCTTCCAGAGGGCAGGGTTAGGTGGGATCATGGGAAGGAGTTCCTGGCTGGGATGGAATTCCTAGAGGAGCTGTGGCTGCCCCTGGAAGCATCCAAGGCCAGGTTGGATGGGGCTTGGACCAACCTTGGAGATGGGATCTGTTTTTTGTTACATCCCATCCCTGGGCTGGGGCTGCAGGACAGATCTGTGACCTCTGGGGACACCCTGAGGTGCTGCCCCAGCCCGGGCAGCCCTGGGCTCCTCTCAGTGTTCTCCATGTGCCACAGGACACGGCGGATTACGTGAAGCCGGTGACGTTCTCCATCGACTACGAGCTGGAGCATCCCGAGCACGGCCCCATGCTGGACGATGGGTGGCCCACCTCGCTCAGGGTCTCTGTAGGTAGCAGCTGACACCTCCCAAAGTGCCACCTCCGTGGTGTCACCTCCCTGGTGCCACCTCCCAAAGTTCTGCGTCCCAGGTGCCACCTCCATGGTGTCACCTCCCTGGTGTCACCTCCCAAAGTTCTACCTCCCAAAGTGCCACCTCCATGGTGTCACCTCCCAAAGTTCTACCTCCCAAAGTTCTACCTCCCAAAATGCCACCTCCCAAGGCACCAGGGCAGATCTGTCCCTGGAAGAACTGTCACCGAGCTGCCCTCATTGTCCCCTCAGGTCCCCTTCTGGAATGGCTGCAACGAGGACGAGCACTGTGTCCCCGACCTGGTGCTGGATGCCAGAAGTGACATTCCCAGTGCCATGTGAGTAGGTGACCCAGAGCATCCTCCGAGAGCGTCACCAGCTGGGGGAGGCTCCAAAATCCAGCCCCAGTCTGCGCTCTGTAAATTCTGACATCACTGGCCCTTCATCCAGCATCACCACAAGGCTGATCAAGCCCTCCATGAGGTGCTCCTTGGCACTTCTGAGCCTCTCCCTGCTCCCTGCCTGGAAGGAATCCGTGGTTTTTCGGGGAATCCACAAACCAGCGAATATTTGGTGCCATGGTGATGAGTTCCAGGGATACAAATCAGGAAATAACTGCAAGGCTGGCATTACCCACCTGGCAATTACGGGCTTGACTCATGGAAATAATTCCACGCTGCAGCTCTGTGGTTACAGAGCTATTCAAGGTTATCCCTGCATCCACAGGAGGCCCTGGAGCTGCTCCGAGGGCTGGAGCCCCTCTGGAGCCAGGCTAGGAAAACTGGGAATATCCACCTGGAGAAGGGAAGGATCCAGGGAGAGCTCAGAGCCCTTCCAGAGCCTAAAGGGGCTCCAGGAGAGCTGGAGAGGGACTGGGGACAAGGCGTGGAGGGACAGGACGCAGGGAATGGCTTTAGGTGAAAGAGGGATCAATGGGATATTGGGAAGGAATTGTTCCCTGTCAGGGTGGGGAGGGGCTGGGATGGAATTCCCAGAGAAGCTGTGGCTGCCCCTGGAAGTGTCCAGGGCCAGGCTGGACATTGGAGCTTGGAGCCACCTTTGCTATTGGCACGGGATCTGATTTTTCCCTACATCCCAGCTGTCCCGAGCATTCCTCATAAAGTTTGAGAAAGCGTCACACCATTGGCCAAAAACCCCCAAATTATGGACGGTGGGAAAAACCCATAACTCCTCTTTCAGCACAGCAGGACAGAGGGAGGGCAGGGATTTCCATGGTCATAAAATCCCGGGAATGCCTGTTCTTGCAGGGAATTCTGCCGGAGGGCACTGCGGAGGGGGGACTGCTCGGCCTTCAGCCTCTCCTTTGACGCCTCCGTCTTCGTCATCGAGAGCAGCAGGAGAAGGGTGGCCGTGGAAGCCACGCTGGAAAACCGCGGGGAGAACGCCTACAGCACCGTCCTCAACATCTCCTTCTCCAGGAACCTCCAGCTGGCCAGCTTGATCCCCAAGGTGAGCTCCTGGGGGAGATCCAGGCTTTTCCAGAGGTGCTGCTGGTCCCGGCCGGGCGAGAAAGCTGCAGCCTAAAGCAGAGCCCAAATCTGTCTCCATCCCTCATAAATCAGAGCTGTTTATGGGCTCTGTTTCTAAGCACTTCCAGCTCTTTATTTTGGAAATACAAAAACGGTTGAGTTTTAAGAGCCTGAGCGAAGGTCAAACACAGAGGAAATTATTTCCCTCTATTTTTCTCCTGCAGTTGTTTAAAAATACTCCCTGCACATGGCCAAGTTCCCGTCAGGAACGAGTTTTTGCAGCTGAGAAATAACTTCTGGAAGTAGGGGCTGATCATGGGAATGTGGCCACAGCTCAGCACCGAGCCGGGCGATGCCACCTCTCCATGGCTTTCCCTGGATGGTCCCCCAGTGTCCCAAAAATGTCACTGCCCCACTCACTCGATCTTGGTGCGACTCCTCCCTGTTCCCAGTGAGGTTTGGGAATGTGCTGATGCTGCTGAGCCTTCGCTCACCCCCCCATGACTTCATCCCTGCCCGCAGATCCCATCTCCTTTGTTTTTCTCCAAGCCGTGCCAAGGGAAAATTGTGGGGCTTGCTGCCCACAAAATAAGAAAAATGCATTTTTTGGAGATTATTCCAGACGAAGTGAGGGGAGCAGGGAAAATCCCCGGGAGGGTGAGGAACAGCAAGCACCAGGCAGCAGTGGTTGTAGGGAATATTTGCAGCTGGTCATGGAGGAGTCATGGATATCAGGCTCCTGGCTGTCCCTCCTTATCAAGGAGCATCCAGAGGGGACAGATATCTGTGTATTATAAATAAAAAGTGGCTGTGGCCCCAAAAAGTCCATAATTTCAGCAGATGAGTGGAGGAAGCTCCAGGCTGTTGCTGGTGGCTGGTGCTGGGATATTCTGGCTCCTAGGTAGGAATTTTCCAGTGGCAGCAGCTCAAACTGACCCCTTGTGGGATAAAAGCTGGAATAGCTCAAATCCTGTCATGGTGAGGATGGACAGCTGCCTACAAGCAGGCTACAACATCTGGAAGGGTTGTGGAAGAGACAGAGCAGGGTTGGTGTCCTATCCCATCACATCCCATCCCAGCTCTGCAATGGGCAGGACCTTCTCCAGCCTGCCTGGAGAGGTGGAAGGTGTTCCAGCAGCAGGAATATTGGTGTTGACATGAGGGAATTCCAGCTTAGCTGGTGGCCATGCACGATAACAGCTCATGTTGTCTCTAAGTGCTTCCCAACAACTCCTCATCACAGAAAAATCAGGAATGCCAGGAATAATCAGGTTCATTCATTCACCGCTGTAATTAAATTCATAAAGAGGATTTACATCAGGAAACTGGGACTTGCTCCCTAGAGATGCTCCTTTCCAGGAACATCAACAAATGCATGGGAAGAATTCCCAGCTCCAGTGAGCAGGGTGGGTTGGACGACTGGCTGGTTGCCTGCATGGTCCTTTGGTTGGATTTTGGTTGGTTGGTGGTTGTCCTTCCTTCATTTATTAGTTTGTTGGCCAATGATTGATTGGATCTTGGTTGGGTTTTGGTCATTGGTTGGTTGGGTTTTGGTTGGGTTTTGGTCATTGGTTGGTTTGTTATTGGTTGGGTTTTGGTCGTTGGTTGGTTATTGGTTGATTGATTGGTTGGTTGGTCATTGGTTCTTGTCGTTGGTTGGTTGGGTTTTGGTTGTTGGTTGGTCATTGGTTGGTTGGATTTTGGTTGGTTGGTCATTGGTTGATTGTCCACTGGTTGGCCATTATTTTGTTGGCCATTGGTTGGCGGTTGGCTGGTTGTTTCCCCAAAGCCAAGGCCCATTTTGAGCCCCTAGGTGTTCCCAGTTTCCCAAAGAGCCGGCTCCCGGGGCTCATTCCCGGTGTCCCAGACACTCCATGGACAGGACTTCATGTCCCGTTTCAGGACGACACCGACATCAACATCGACTGCGCCAGTGACGACAGACACCCCACCAGGAGGGTGTGCAACGTCAGCTACCCCTTCTTCCGAGCCAAGGCCAAGGTAGGACATTCCCAACTTCCCACTCTGCTGTCACATGGACCTTCTGCCCCCAGGGTCACATCTGGGCAGCCCTGATCAAGATTTTGAAGATAAACTTTTGGTTTTGTCCCTTTTGGAGTCTGAAAGGCATCTTAGGGAAGCTGGGATGGTTGGGATCCTCAAGAGAGCCCCAGAATCCATCCCAGCTCCTCCAGGTGTCAGAATTTGCCTTCAGTCCTGTGGAAGAATTTAATGTTGGCTTCAAACCACGGATGGGAACTTCCCTGAGCTGATTCCCTGCAGGATGAGGCTCCTTCCCTCCCTGAGAGGTTTTCCTTGCTCTGAGGTGCCTCTGGATCCTGCTCAGAGCCAGTCCAGCCCCTGGGTGGTGGCACCCTCCAAACCAGTGTTCCCAGTATTGGGGATGAGCCCAGATCCAGTTTATCATTTTTATAAACCATAAACCCTTGGGAAACATCAAATTCAGTTGGGAAAGAAATAGTGGGGAGATCCATTCAGGATCCACTTGGAATCCCACCTGCCACCCATGGGAAAAGGGACCAACACAAGCAGGACGTGGAGATAAAATCTCCCCAGCTCCTGTATCCGTCTGAAACCTTTCCTGGATTAAGATGGATGAGCCTCAGGCACCAGGCTCGGCTTTGAAGCTCCCAAAAATCCCAGTGGGATGCCTGTGGCTGCACGAGGAGCTGGCTCCCCATGACCTACGGGGTCGGGAATGTGTCCGTGGGCCATCAGGTAGTGCCGCTCCTGCCAAAACAAAGACAGGCTGGAAAAGGAATTTTGGCTCCGGAGCCGCGGGAGCTTTAATATTCCAGTCAGCTGTGCCGGCCCAGACGGTTTGAGGTCACTGCAGATGTGACATTTATCACATTTATCCCGTTTTATTGGTTTTGGCTCTCTCCAGCTGCCTCCCCTTCCCGCCGATCCCGGGCCTCTGGAGGGATCTGCTTCCAAAGGGAGCTGCTCGTTGCTCCCATGGCAGGGGCTGAGAGAATTCCTGCAAATCCTCTCTGCCTGGAAAGGCTCTGCTCAGTCCTGGTGGGATTGGGAATTGTGTCTCCCGCAGGGTCTCTCACTGGCCCCGCTCAGCACTTGGGATTTTATTCCCTGGGATGTTTTTCCCGATGTTTTTCCCGGTGTTTTTCCCTTCCCCGCAGGTCGCTTTCCGCCTGGATTTTGAATTCAGCAAGTCCGTCTTCCTGCAGAGCATGGAGGTCTACATGGTTGCCAGCAGGTCTGGGGATGCTTTCTCCCTCTGGAATCATGGAATGGTTTGGGCTGGAAAAAAAGCCCATCCAATCCCATCCCTTCCCTGATCCCAGGGTGTCCAACCTTGGACAATTCCAGGGATCCAGGGAGTTTCTCTGGGCACCCCAGGATGTAGCCAGCTTTCCTTGGGATTCCTTCCTGCAGAGCCAGAGGTTTTCCATGGCACAACCCCATGGAGACCCAGTTGCTGTGGGTTATCCCAGCCCCGTGCTCCCAAACCCGGCTATTTTTATTTATCTGGGGATTTACATCCATGATTTTTCCATGCCTGTGGAAGCTGTCGGGCTCTGCTGGATCTCCAGCCACTGCTGCTTTCACATCCATGCTCCCACCGCAAATATTTCCCAGGAAAAATATCTCCTAATAATTTTACAAAGTTCTCCTTACTCCCCATTCCTGCACAGGTAAAGATTTCCACAGGGAAATGTGGGAAATCCAGCAAAAAAACCGGAAAATCCTATGAAAAGGGGAAATCCTGTGAGGAAGGGGGAAAACCTTGCAAAGAAAGGGGAAATCATACAAATAAAGGGAAAAATTAAATCAACTTAATATTTATTAAATTATTAATAAATAATAGAATTAATTGGCTAAATTATTAATATTAATTGATGAAATGTTTTACAAATTCACCAATTATTATAGCAGAGGAGGATTCCCCTGCACCCCTTTACGCTGCTGGGGGTGACACCTCCCTCCGAATCATTTTCATGATAAAAATCCCAGAGTAAAATCCTGCTTTGACCAAAATGCAATAAAGTTCAGCACTCCCCCAAAAAATTCCCAGGGGGATTTGGCTGCTGCCTGACCCCCTGGCCCTGCTGCTGTTCCAGTGACAGCGAGGAGAAGGAGAGCACCAAGGAGGACAACGTTGCCCACCTCAACTTCCAGCTCAAGTACGAGGCCGACCTGCTCTTCACCAGGTGAGGGGTTTGGGATGCGGCTCCTGGGAGGTCATGGATTGGGAAAACCCCTTGGGAAAACCAGCTGGGAGCAGCCTTCAAACCCAGGTTTAATTTGGGAATTTATTGAAAAACCAGGAGCCATAAAGTCAGGGAGAGCTTTTTATAAAATTGGCGAGCCGTGGGGAGCTGGACTCTGCCGATGTTTAAAGGCATAAATGTTATTGAAGAGGTGTGAGGGTGAGTTTTTATGGGGAAAAAAAGGGAATTCTTGGAGGTAATAATGGCCATAACAGGTGTTCCCGGTGTCTGGGCCAGTGGCCATCCCACAAAACCATCGGAGGGAAGCTGAGCTGTGGGACGAGCGTGGAATCACCGGGAATTCAAGTCTGGGACAGCCAGGGATGAAGGCAGAGATAATTTAGGAAGCTGCTGATGGGAAAATCAGGGATCCCAAAGCACATTCCCTGGCACTGCTTGCTGGAATATTTTGGGGATTTTTCAGCCCTTCGGTCATTTTATATTTTTTACTCAGACACCACAAATAAAATTCCTTTAATATTTAGGATTTATGGGGAGTGAGGGGATTCTCCAGTTGGTAATGAAGAGAAAACCTGGAGGGAAAGAAGAGCACAGAAAATATCAAATTTGGGAATCTTGGAGTGGAAAAGGAGGCAGAGAATTTGAAAGAATGTGAGGATTTTGGGGCCATCACAGGTGCTCCCGAATGGGTTCCCACAGGGTATTCCTGGCTCTTTTCCCACCTTTCCAGCTGCAGAGCAGGGATTGATTTACCTCCTGCGACATCCAAACCTCAGCCAGGGCCTGGGGTGGCTCTGCTTTATTAAAGAGGCGAGAAAATCCTATAAAGAAAGGGAAAATCCCAGCAAGAAAGGGGAAAGTCCTGCAGAGAAAAGGGAAAATCCTACAAACCCCTTTGTCCCACAGGACGTCGAGCCTGGACTATTTTGAGATCAGATCCAACAATTCCCTGGATGGATCCAACCCCATCGGGCCCCCCTTCCACTGCACCTTCACGGTGAGCAGGAACCGGATCCCTGAGTTCTCCTGGATTTGGGATCTGCCCTGGGAGCAGGGATCCCCCTCCCCCGATCCCAACACATCCCTGTGCTCTTCCCTGGCAGCTGCAGAACCTGGGATTCTTCCCGGTGCAAGGGGTGACCCTGAAGATCACCGTGCCCGTGGCCACCCGGGCGGGCAACCGGCTCCTGCTGCCCTCGGAATTCCGGGCAGACCAGGTAGGATGGGATTAAGGTTTAGGATGGGATTCCAGCATGGTTTAGGGTGGGATTGCAGCATGGTTTAGGATGGAATTCTAGCCCAGTTTAGGATGAGATTCTGTCCAAGTTTAGGGTGGGATTTCAGCATGGTTTAGGATGGAATTCTGTCCCAGTTTAGGATGAAATTCTGTCTCAGTTTCGGGTGGGATTCCAGCATGGTTTAGGATGGAATTCCAGCCTGGTTTAGGATGGGATTCCAGCCCAGTTTATGATGGATTCAGGCCTGGTTTAGGATGGGATTCCAGCCTGGTTTTAGGATAGGATTCTGTCCCAATTTAGGATGGGATTTCAGCCCAGTTTAGGATGGGATTCCAGCCTGGTTTTAGGATAGGATTCTGTCCCAATTTAGGATGGGATTTCAGCCCAGTTTAGGATGGGATTCCAGCCCAGTTTATGATGGATTCAGGCCTGGTTTAGGATGGGATTCCAGCCTGGTTTTAGGATAGGATTCTGTCCCAATTTAGGATGGGATTTCAGCCCAGTTTAGGATGGGATTCAAGCCCAGTTTAGGATGGGATTCCAGCCTGGTTTAGGATAGGATTCTGTCCCAATTTAAGATGGAATTCCAGCCCAGTTTAGGATGGGATTCAGGCCTGGTTTAGGATGGGATCCCAGCCCTCCAGCCACATCCCACATCGAGCCAAACTCAATCCCAGCTCCAGCAAATCCTGGGGGGTGCTGGGGATCCCCGATTCCATCGGGATGGGGGCACAGGGAAGCCACTGCCACAATCCCGTGTCCATGCTGGAATTCCATCGGCTTCTCCCACAGGAAAACACGACCTGCAGCATTTGGGGGAACACCACTGACTACCGCAGAACCCCGGCGGAGGAGGACCTGTCCCACACCCCACACCTGGTACTCGCCTGCTCGGGGCCAATCCTGGCTCCAGGATATCCCAAAACAGGGAAAAACCTGCAATAGGGATGGCCCATGGATGTGGGAGGGGCACGTGGACGCATGTGGAATTTTTTAAGAGATTTTCAAGCCCTTCAGTCGGTTTGTTTTTATTTTTCCTCTCAGCCACTGCGACTTAAGCCCTGTTAATACTCAGGATTTATGGGAAGTGAGGGGATTCTCCAGCTCACAAAGATCAGGATAATTTTTTTCCCAAGGGAAATCTTGGAGGGGAAGAACAGCACAAAACCCAGCAAAACTGGGAAGTTTGGGGTGAAAAAGAGGGAGAAAATCTGAAGAATGAGGGGGTTTGGCCACACAGGAGGATGGACACGTGGGGTCCTCCCTCCATCAGTGCCTGCCAGGGATGAATCCCAGTGGGATTTTCCCTCCTTCTCCAGCCGTGATCCCACATTTCCCTTTGCAGAACCACAGCAACTCCGACGTGGTTTCCATCGACTGCGAGGTGAAGCTGGCTCCCAGCGAGGAGCTGAACCTGCACTTGCGTGGGAACCTGTGGATGAAGTCTCTGAAAGCAGTGAGTGCTCACCAGAAAATGTGGATTTCAGGCAGAAACCCCCCAAAGGAACCCTCATACCCCAAAAATGTGGGAGTTTTCCCTTCCCCAGGAATGCATGGGGTGGATTTTGTTCCCAAAACCACTTATCCTATTGGTTCTACATCTACATCTCATTATGGATCATTTAATTCCATAATTTAGTAATTAATTCTAATTTAATTAATCTAAAACCTCTTTTTTGCCATCATTCTGCCCCACTCCCTGCCTGCCCTGCATCCTCCTCTCCCAGGAATCCAAACAGAATCCCTGTGGATACAAAGCCAAGGGGATGGGATGGATCCCGTTGGGAATGGGGGCTCCTTTCCCACGTGGGATGCTCATCCCAGCCCATGGGGAGGGATCCCGTTGGGAATGGGGGATCCTTTTCCACGTGGGATGCTCATCCCCGCCCATGGGGATGGATCCCGTTGGGAATGGGGGCTCCTTTCCCACGTGGGATGCTCATCCCAGCCCTCTCCGTGCAGCTGAAGTTCAAGGCACTGAAGCTCACCACGATCGCCGCGCTCCAGCGGCGCTTCCGGAGCCCCTTCGTTTTCCGGGAGGAGGATCCCAGCCGCCAGGTCAGCCCAGGGATGGGGGATCCAGAATTTCGGGATGCTGCCACAGCCTGCCCTGATCCCACTGGGAAAATCCCTGTGGATGGAGGGACCCAGAATTTTGGGACACTGCCACACCCTGCCCTGATCCCACTGGGAGATCCCATGGATTGAGGGACCCAGGTCTGGAAGAACTCGGTGCAGCTGTGGCCAGAGCCGAGCTTTGATCCTGGAATCTCCGGATTCCACAGGGAAAACTGAGCCAAATCCTTGGTGCAGCATTCCCAGAGGAAGGGCTGTTCAGCAGTCCCTCTATCCCCTTTTCCCCGCCATTCCTGCCTGGCATCCGCGGTGTTTTCTCTCCCCCAGATCACGTTTGAGATCTCCAAGCCCGAGGAATCGCAGATTCCCATCTGGATCATCCTTGGGAGCACCTTCGGAGGTCTCCTGCTCCTGGCCCTGCTGGTCCTGGCGCTCTGGAAGGTGAGCAGCCCCCGGGCCGTGCATTTTGGGGGATTTTTGGAGATTCCCATGTGTGGAGGAACCCTCTGGATCCGTGTCCCGCACCCCACGAGATCCTCAACACCACCAAAAACCCTCAAAACCTCCTCAAAAATCCCCTTTTCCATTTATAAATTATATCCAGGACCAACCTCCCGCTGCTATCCCATTAAAAGCTCCTGGAAAAACAGCGGGATTTTGTTTCTCTTCCCTCCCCACAGCTCGGGTTCTTCAAGAGCGGGAGCCGCCGGCGAGCGGCCGAGCGGGAGCAGAATTCCCACGGGATGGAGTGACTCTGCCGGGGCCAGGAGCCCCCTCCCAGCTCCGGAGATTCCCGGGATCCCGAGGGATTTGGGGGCTGAGCTTGGCTTTGCAGCAGGACCAGAGAACACCCCTTGTGGGACAGCACTTAGAAGCCATAAAAAAACCCCTCAAACCAAGTGAAAATTCCCCAAAAATCTCCTTGGAGGTGCTTTCAACTGGGATTCCATAAAAATACCCCTCAAACCAATGGAAAATTCCCCAAAAATCTCCTCGGAGGTGCTTCCAACTGGGATTCCATAAAAATACCCCTCAAACCAAGTGAAAATTCCCCAAAAAATCTCCTCGGAGGTGCTTTCAAATGGGATTCCATAAAAAAAGACCTCAAATCAACCAAAAATTCCCCAAAAATCTCCTCGGAGGTGCTTCCAACTGGGATTCCATAAAAATACCCCTCAAACCAAGTGAAAATTCCCCAAAAATCTCCTTGGAGGTGCTTTCAACTGGGATTCCATAAAAATACCCCTAAAACCAATGGAAAATTCCCCAAAAATCTTCTCAGAGGTGCTTTCAACTGGGGTTCCATAACAAAAGACCTCAAGTCAACCAAAAATTCCCCAAAAATCTCCTCGGAGGTGCTTCCAACTGGGAAGTCACCAAGGTGGCAGCAGCGGGGACGAGGGGACGCCGACGTGAGGGGTCCCTGAAGAGGAGCTGGAAAACTCCTTAAAATAATAATATTATCCCAAAAAAACCCCATGGATTGCTCCTGCCCGTGGCGGAGCTGTCGCAGGCCCCGGGCTCTGCTGGCCACAGCTCTCAAACTGCCTTCGTTAAGAGGAGTAATTAAGTGGAGGCGTTAATTAGTCTGAATGCACTGAAGGAAATTCTTGTGATTTCAAGCACCTTAAACGCCAAATCTCCGGTGTCCAGCTGTACATAATTCTTCTAAAAACAGGAAGGAAAAGAAGGGGGGAAAATTTAAAACCCTGCCAAAAAAAAAAAATTTAAAAATTAAGAAATAATTCCGAAAAAATTTAAAATCGTTTAAAGAATTAATTAAAAAGCAGTTGGATGAGTTTTGTCCCAGCAGAGCAGTTTGGGGAGCCCACGTGTATCATACCTGTACATAGCTGGTGCCATGGAAATCATGGAATTTTAAGGGCGGGAATGTGCCCTCGGCATAGCGGAATTATTTATGCTAATATTAATTTTATGGAGAAGAGGGAAGTGGATTTTTTTGGATGCGGGATGAGGTTCGGGAAATACCGTTCCTGGTATTTTTTAAGAATTAAAAATATGGTATTTTAAAAATTCCTGGTGTCTGTTCCTTTTTATTTTCTGTGGATTTGAGGGGGGCGGCTCTGGCATCGAGGGCAGGATGGATCCTGGAATTTTTCCATCATTTATTTCTATGGGATGTGAGGTTTTCCAAGGAAGTTTGAAAGGGATGAGCAGTCAAGTGATGCCTTTGGGAGAAGCAACTTGGAAAAAAAAAGGATAAAATAAACTCCCAAATGAGACATTCCATCCTCAGCGGGAGTGGGAATTCTGCATTTCCCAGTTTTTGATGGACTGGGAGCTCAGGGGTCCGGCTGGGGTGCAGGGAAACCCTGTAGTTAGATATATTTTTATATATATAAATATGTAATATATAAATACATCAACACATTTTATAGATTTATATTTTTATACATACACACACATATTTATTATTACTTTTTATTTATATTATTATCTATTATTATTTATGTATTAATATATATGTGTAACATATAATATATATCATAGATATATGAATAAAATCATATATGTAGTATATATTATATATTGATTAATATAATTAATATAATATAATATAACACTTTCATATAATACAATATAACATTTTATGTTAAATTATATATTATATTATATTATATTATATTATATTATATTATATTATATTCATATGTGTATATATAATGTATATTATATATTATATCTATAACTATACATATAATTTATATGTATATGTCCAGAATATTTATGTATAACATATATGTTCATATAATATATATACATAAATATTTAAAAATATATAAATATATATAATTGATATATTTTACCTATATCTATATATATTATATATATTTAAATATATTTACTTATATATAAAATACATGTGCACACACACATATATTTTATATATATTTGTGGGTTTATATCTATGCATAGACATATATCTACACACACACTATATGTGCATATACATTTGTAAATAATTTTACTTTTAGACTTTTAAAAATTGTTACACAGATGTGTATATATAAAATATATGTGTATATACATGCATATGTATGTGTGTATATATACATATAAAAATATATAAAATATATAAAATATGTGTGTGTATGTGCATAAAGTATAAATACTTTATATTTTTATTTCTATATCTACGTATAATTAATATATTTATATTTTATGTTTTCTATAAATATACAAAAATTATATATATACATTGATATCTTTTTATACATACAGCTAATATATTTATATCTATAAATACATTGATATATTTTATATATATACACACTGATATATTTTATATATATATACATACATTGATATATTTTATATATATACACACATTTATACATATAAATATATTGATATATTTTTATATATATATATATATAAAAATACACTGAGATATTTTATATATCCCTTGCCATGGACACCTGGGCACACTCCAGGACACAATTCCCACATTTCTGTGGAGCTCAGGGTGCACCTGCCCCCCTCCTGCTCCCCTCCCCAGCCATTCCCAAGGAATATTTGGGAATCCCGGATTTCCAGGACCCTGCTAGCAGCAAGGGTGGGGTTGGAGGCGGCTGTCCCCAATCCCAGGGTGGGATTGCACTGTCCCCAATCCCTGTTTGGGATTGCACTGTCCCCCATCCCTGGCTGGGATTGCACTGTCCCCATCCCTGGGTGGCTCAGTCCCTCTGGATCCCTCGGGACAGCAGGATCAGCATTCCAAGGCCTGGCTCAGCTCCAGGTTTATTTCTAGGCCGGGTTTATTTCTAGGCCGGGTTTATTTCTGCCTCTCCCAGTTCTGATCCTGCTCCATCAACATCCCAACCCCCGGCAGCACGCGGCTCTTCCCAGGACTTCACTCCGTGCTTTTCCAGGGAAAACAGCACCTGGAAGATCCAAGGAATTTTATCAGGGGCTTTAAATAACAGGGAGAGCAAAGGGAACCTCACAGCGTTTAATGCTTGGGAGGAAAAATCCAGATCCTGGAGAAGATCCCAGCATTCCCAAGCCTCACCCACAGGTATTCCCTATCCTTTGCCAAGAGCTCCTGGTGACAGGGGGGAGGTGGCAGGACAGCATTCCATGACACCAGGCAGCAGGAATTCACTGGGAAGCAGGAGAACAACCGGGCACAGGCTGCAGGCAGGAGCAGCCTTCCCACAGCAAAGACCTTCCTCTGCATGGAAGTATTTTGGAATCGACAGCCAGGAATTTTTATTGTTCCTTTGGAATTCTCCTCAGGAAAATGACACCTTCCACTATCCCAGAATGCTCCAACCTGGCCTTAGGACAAATCCAGGGATGTGGCAGCTTCCCCAGAGAACCTAAAGCTGACCCTAAAGCTTTTCCCCCAAAGGACACAAACCCTGGACAAAAACCAGGAATTGCAAGGTAATTCCACATTCAATGTTTATTTCTTTGTCATACAAATAGAAACGTGTGCCCCAAATCTCGCCTGAAAGTTCTACCTGGATTGTTTTTAAAAAAACCCCACGGAACATTCGTTCATCCTGACGGTTAAAAAGCTGCGTGGGAAAGGAACAGAGGGTTCAGGAGCCTTGTCCCAACAAGTGACATTTTCCTGCTGGAGCATCTGCCACTTCTCCCAAAGTTCTCAAGCGACAACGTCCCCGTACAATCACTCGCTCACCAGCAAAGAGGTTGATGAGAGGAGAATTTTTTTTTTTTTTTTGTAAAAATCAGTTTTAAGAAGAGATTTTCCTACTGGAAGGAGTAAAAACCATGAAAAATCCTCGAGTCCAATTCAGGGAGGCACAGACTCCAACGCTTCTTGGAAAAGCCAGGTTCAAGGAAGACTCTCTTTGGCGGCAGACGGCTCCGTTAGGAAGATACAGCATCTGGAATCCAAGAGTGCAGCTGGACAGACTTTGAGTCAAAAAAAAGGTGCGTGTTGAGCGTCGAAACAACAGAAAAAACCCAAGTTCAAAGCAGTTTGAAATGTTGGGACACACACAAACACAAATTCCCTACCCAGTTTCTAGGGATCCATGCATGATGTTTGGATAGGAGCGACGGAGCTACGGAAAAAGAAACGATGATTCCGGTTATTTTCGGTCGGCGTGGAAGTGGGGTTTTGTCCATAGGTTATTCAATACTTACTGCAGCAGTGTCAGTGAAGAGCCTGATGATGGAATTCAGCCCCTCAGAGCCAAATTTCCACCTGCATATCCTAACAGAACACCCCTCACATCTGTAGCTGTACATTTTTATTTAAAACACAACTTTTAAAACGTTACCAACATCTTCAGCACGAGCTGAAAGGCATAAGAGCACGGTGAGGTATGAGAGCAACACACTGCTCTGGGGGTGGACACTCCACTTTTAACCCAACCACCACAGAATTCCCAATTTTTCTTTTCCCACCTCATTGTGAGGAGTTTGAAATCCAATTGTGCGAATCGTGTCGAACACGGAACGTTTGAGAGGAGTTACCTGGGGGATTCTTCTCTTGTCGTTTAGAAAACCAAGAGCTAATGAAGGGATTCATTTAATCAAAAAAAGAAAAGGACCAAAATCTCAAACACCAGATTCAACTACAGGACAACAATGTGGCTTTTCCTGCCCCCCGCCCTCCACCATCTCCACCCGAGAACTGAGGCCGCAGACGGAATCCAGAGGAACCCAAAACCAAAGGAATGGAGAAAAACAACTTCATGGACATGGGTGTATTCTGCTGTCTGGTGTCGTCCCGGGATAGCACCACCACAAAAGGTTGGACACGGCCTAGTGGAACTGGACAAACTCCTCCAGAGTTCTGGGGATCTGGTTTTGGTAGCTGATGTTGTAGATCCGCACGGCGCGGGCAGCCAGGCACTTGAGACTCAGCTTCATTTGAGTTTTAAGGAGGATTTCGGACACCCCGGTGGTACTTTTATCCAGAGGGGTTTTCTTCTGCTTGTTGGTCATGTCCGTGTGGGCGCCGGCCTCCACCAGGCTGATGATGATGGAGTGCAACGTCAAGAAGTCGCTGATGGGCCGGTGGTACTGCACGATGATGTGCAGAGGGCTGTTCCCCTCGTTGTCCACGGCGTTGACGTCGGCGCCGCAGTCCAGCAGGAGCTTGGTGACCAGGGCGTTGGGGAAGCTGCACACGTCATTGGTGTGGAAGTCATCCACGGGCGTGCCCGAGTTGACGGCGTGGTGCAGCAGGCTGGAGCCGTCGCGCGTGCGCGGGTCCAGGTGGATCAGGTTGTAGATCTGCTTGTTGATGCGGGACTGGTCCTCCTCGCTGCACTGTGTCTTGGTGGAGATGCACACCAGGTAGAGGAAGGTGAAGATGTTGCACTCGTAGTTGTCCATGGCCGTGTGGATGTCGGCGTCCGGGGTGGTTTTGATGCGCGCCATGCCCTGCTCGATCTCCAGCACGCTGCAGCGCAGGACGCTCTCGATGTCCTTGGCCTTCACGGGCTCGTTCAGGTGGATCATCTGGGAGAAGACCTGAGCGAACCTCAGCAGGTCCTTGTGGGTGTTCCTGTTGCCCTTCTGCCGCAGGTGCAGGGCGTGGAGCCAGAGCTTGATGCACTGCTCGAACTCCATGTTGTCCGCGTAGACCGCGCCCCGGTAAATGATGGGGTGCGAGACGTCGATATTGTCCGAGCCCAGGATTCTCTCCCGCACTATGAGGCCTTCCATGTGAAGGGCATCTCTGTCCTGCCTAATGGACTCTAACTCCTGAGGCGTCCTGCATTCCGACCTGTTTCCGTAAGCCTCGATCCGGGGAAGCACCTCCTTCTCGATGACGTTCTCGCTGTCGCGGTACCTCTCCAGCATGGCTAAATATAAATAGTGGTAAGTCTTCAAAATGTCGTAGTTCTCCCTGTCATTGGCAAACGAGGCCCCCAGCAGCTCCAGAGCTTCGATCCTGCTCCTCCTGTCGCAGTCGGCGTGAGCCAGCAGCAGCTCCACCACGTCGGCCTTGCAGCTCTCGGCGGCCACTTTGAGCGGCGTCATGCCGTGGCCGTTCACCAT